TTTCCCTATGTCAAACAGGTCCTCACAGGACTGTTGTGAGGATTAAATACTATAATACCATGCAGCATTCAGTAATTAGTGGCTTTTTTTTTTTTTTTTTTTTTACGGGAAGTCTTGCTCTGTCGCCTAGGCTGGAGTGCAGTGGCGTGATCAAACAGTTCTCCTGCCTCAGCCTCCCAAGTAGCTGGAATTACAGACGTACACCACCATGCCTGGCTTTTTTTTTTTTCTTTCTTTCTTTCTTTTAAGTAGAGACGGGGTTTCGCCATGTTAGATAGGCTGGTCCTGAGCTCCTGACCTCAAGTGATCCACCCGCCTTGGCCTCCCAAAGTGCTGGGATTACGGGCGTGAGCCACTGTGCCAAGCCAGTGGCTGTTTTTACTGTGACGGCTCTTTGAGTATCTCATTTACCCAAAGTTCAGAGGTAACTTTTAGGACTTTTCTACCTTTGCAAACCCCTGTCACTTTTCTCCATGTTCAGGCTTGGCTCTCCTGTGTTCAAAAACAATTTCCAGCTGAAATACTTCAACTGGAAAAAAATGAATTTGTTTTTGCCACGTTTCTTCTGCTCTTACTAGCCTAGAGGAGCAGGCCCGTCCCTTTGAGCTGTAAATTGCATTTCAAAGCCTGTGTCCCTAGTGGATTTTAATTAACTTAAAAGGCCCAGCTTTTACGCAGCAGTTGTTTCTCCTGCAGGTATAGGTGAAGGCACTTATTGGGGAGCCAGTCCCCAGTTTTCTCAAACATGGTGTTTTGTTTTGTTTTGTTTTGAGACACTGTGGTCTCTCCCAGCTCCTCACTGTCTTGGGGCCTGTCTCTCACCAGCCCAGAATGAAAAATGGAATATAAGGACCCTAGACTTAGCGTCAGAGGACCCATGGGTTAGTCTTGGCTCTGCTACTCACTAGCCGCGGCGTCCTGGCCAAGGTTTTACTGTGGGTAAAACTTCGTTCCTCCGAGTGAGAGCATTTATAAGCTCCATGTGCACACAGGTCTCTGCTCATCTGACATTGCAGAAGTCTCTAGGAACAAATTTGCTTCTCTCCCTTCCTCCAACCACCAAGAACAGTCCTTCTACCCACCTCTCTTCAGCTCATTGCTAAACCTAGGACCCCTGGGGGCTGCAGACACCTTGCTCTCAATTACACAGCTAATCTGAGAGGCAGAGCTTGGCCCAGGGCAGGAAATAGCTTACCAAGTCAAGTAGCTCCTGCTGAATGGATGTCAATATTTTCTAGAGCTGCCACTCTAAGCTAGGGGGAAGCCTTGAAAAGCATAGCAAGAATTGGGTGGGAGGAATTGAGTTGGTCTGTGGAGGTGGGTATTTGGGTCAAAGATTAGAAAAAGGTATCTTGGGACCTCTGCCCCAGTGGTCCTAACCACTTAAGGCAGTCCACAGCTAGACCTTCTCACCGCCTCCTGGGACATATGTCCACTCCCTCCCTAATATTGATTGAACACTTACTGTGCCTCAAGTTTTGTCAGGCCTGCCCTGTAACATTTGCAGGGCAGAGTAACAAGAGTACAAATAGAGACCCATGTACCATATGTTCAAACATTTGAAGGTTCTGAGTGAAGCTAATAAATTGTGATGTCCCTAACAACTTGGAATACCATGTTTAAATTTAGAATTCTTGGACTCGTTAGGATTCTGTACCTGAACCTGGCAGTTCAGGGAGACCTAGTCTGGCCCCACCTCCTTTTCATTCCCTTTCCCAATTCTATTCCTCACTTAGAGGAGCCTCATCAACATGTGTGTGGTCACTCAAGCCTTTCCACACCCCCATAGATACCTGTCTCTTTGGGCTGAGGGAGTCCACACAACAGTAGCACATCCTGCGCATCCTGCTTCCAGAGGAGTGTGCAGGGCATGAAAGTGGATAGGGGGCTGTTGAGACGAGAAGCTCAGAGGTTGGGTGCCTAGAGCATGCCATAGGTGAGCATTTCTCCTTTTAACTGCAGACTTCTCACCCAGAGCAGCACTTGCAACCACATACATACACTTCCCAAGTCTCTCCTCTACAGATCAGAAAACTGATGTTCATATGCCATGGCTTCTGGCTGCCCCTCCTTGGCATTATACAGAATGAGTTCCACTCTGACCTTTACCCTCATCTAGAATGGGGCTTGCAGATGGCAGTATTGGAATAAAGAGGTGCAAGCCAGTGTAATTACAAGATCTTGTGAAGGACTTTAGGGTTTGCAAAGTCCTTTTATGTGCATCATTCCAAACCCCAGGGAATGAGAGAAAAGACTGGCAGAGCCAAACCTTAAAAACTTGGCTCGCCAGTCAGGGAGGTGAGTGCTGATCTTGTCACAATACCATGAACAGCTGTTCAGCAAATGCTTCCTGCTCAGTGGTGCTTGTGGCTCCCAGTAGAGGTCACTCTGTCTCCATCCACACCCCAGGCTTGGTTGACTCCCTCTAGGCAAAGCAGGTGGCTTCTCCCTGGGCCAAAACTGTAGCTCTTTGAGCTGAACTACCTAGGAGAGAATCATCTGATGCCCATACAGGGGCCCTATTAACTTCTTGTATACCCATGGATAGACAAAGAATTAACCCTTGAATGGCTCGGCATCCATGTAGGAGAGGGATTGTCAGCGAGAACTGTGAGGAATGGCAAGCCCATGGGAACAACAAGCATTGAGCATTTCCTGCCTCGTATGCTATGCACAGTGTGTTCTTCTTTGTGTCCCTCACTGCCTAATAAGTGTAGATGAGTGGAACCACAGGTAAACTAACCAGAGTCTGTCTCTTTCCAAGTCAGTTCCAAAGCTGGAACCAGCCCCTTTATCAGTATCAGTGATGGGACCCTCTCAGCCCCTTTTCTTTATCTGAGATAATGCACTCCTGACTCCAGTATATCCATTAGGTAAGCCTAACCCCAGGAGCAGTTTCTTCCCAAGTTGGGCTCAGGTCCAGCCTATGATTTCCTTGTAAACAGTACCACCTGCTGGTTAGAACATGCCAGCTTCCAGGCAGGGAGGATTTAGGAGAAAAGTCTCTTATCCCCTAGTGGGATAAGAGATACAGATTTATTTTTTCCAGTTCACTGAAAAGAAAATCCCCCAACATATTAGGTAAGTAGGCTGGCAGACTGATGAAAGTTTTTATATATGCTCTTTGGAGTCTTCTATCACCTGAAATGGTCCTAAGGTTAGGTTATTGAGATAGGAGGGTTCCAAAAGGGAGCGGCATCAACCTACACCCATGAGCAGAAGACTGGGCCGGGAACCGCGAATGCCAAGGCTTAACTTAGGCTTTTCCTACTGAAACTGAGCTTCTCTCCTTTTCCCTTTCCCCGTGGTGCCTATGCCTAGCCATAAACTGGAGGGAAAAATTTGTACAGCCCTTTGGGGTAAAAGACCTGACCAGAATATAGAGAGCAAAGGGTAGGTGCAGTGTTATGTCTAAGCCAAACAGAAAAATATTTGAATGAGTTAGTATTAATATGGGTAACTAAAAAATAAATTTATTAAAAGTAATTCTCAGGTGAATGTGCTGACTTTCTGTGGTATCTAAATTGGCTTCAGCTCTGGGAAGCAAAATGATAAAGTTGAAAGAAATAGACTTTAGGGACGGACTGACCTGAGTTTGAATGCTCCTTACTAGTAAGTTAATGAACTTGTCAATTAATTTCTGGTAAAATATGAGTAATCACGACATTCACTTGTGGGATCTTGGGATTATTCAGTATTGTATGCCACCCTTAGCCCACAGTGAGTACTTGGTGAGGCTTTGTATTAGTCCATTCTTGCACTGTTATAAAGAAATACCTGAGATTGGGTAATTTATAATGAAAAGTTTAATTGGCTCACAGTTCTGCAGGCTGTACAGGCCTCTGCTTCTCAGGAGGCCTCAGGAAATTTACAATTGTAGTGGAAGGAGAAGGGGAAGTAGACACGTCTTCATATGGCCAGGGCAGGAGGAAAAGAGACAGTGGGAGGTACTACACTCTTCTAAATAACCAGATCTTACAAGCACTCACTCACTATCACGAGAGGAGCACCGAGGGGGAAATCCATGATTTCAGTCACCATGATCCAGTCACCTCCCACCAGGCCCCACCTCCAACACTGGGGATTACAATTATAGACATGAGATTTGGGCACGGACACAAATTCAAACCATATCAGGCTTTTCAAAATGGCTGGTAGCAATCCAGACAGTTCTGTGTCTGGATCAGACTAAGCAGTTTTGTTTTCTTTTCTTTGTTTTATTTTTTTGAGACAGAGTCTCGCTCTGTCACCCAGGCTGGAGTGCAGTGGCACAATCTCAGCTCACTGCAACCTCTGCCTCCCGGGTTCAAGCGATTTTCCTGCCTCAGCCTCCCAAGTGGCTGGGATTATAGGTGCCTGCCACCACGCCTGGCTAATTTTTTGTGTTTTTAGTAGAGACAGGGTTTCACCATGTTTGCCAGGCTGGTTTCAAACTCCTGATGCACCTGTCAGGTGATGCACCTGTCTCGGCCTCCAGAATGCTGGGATTACAGGTGTGAGCCACCACGCCCGGACCCTGCAGTTTTTATCATGTGGTGGTCTAGAGTAAACATCACTTGCAAATACCATGTGACCATGGTTCTACATTGAAGATCTTCAGATTTAGATCCTGAATGGAATAACATTTGAGATGAGCATTAAAGAAGTAGACTTAGAAGAATTAGAGTCAAGCAGATGAGGGGGTCAGATCCCAGCCCTGCCATTCACTAGCATCGTGGCCTCTCTGAATGTGAGATTTCTCTCTTGTAAAATGTTGTGGTTCTGCATATCATGTGAGTACCAAATGAGGGGATATATGTAAAGCACCTGGCATGAGGTCAGCAGCCAGTATGTGGCAACTCTTGGTAACATGACAAGAAAACAAGATGCAGAAACAGGTAAGCTGGATGCTATAAGGGTTAAGGAAGGTAAGAGGCAATTCATTTATCCAGGATATGGGCCGTGGGCAGTCCTTGAGCCCAGCCCAGGGACCCAACTTCACAGAGGCTCTCTCTCTTCAGGTAGGCACCATGTCCTTGAAGATGCAGGCAAGCAACGTAACCAACAAGAATGACCCCAAGTCTATCAACTCTCGAGTGTTCATTGGAAACCTCAACACAGCTCTGGTGAAGAAGTCAGATGTGGAGACCATCTTCTCTAAGTATGGCCGTGTGGCCGGCTGTTCTGTGCACAAGGGCTATGCCTTTGTTCAGTACTCCAACGAGCGCCATGCCCGGGCAGCTGTGCTGGGAGAGAATGGGCGGGTGCTGGCCGGGCAGACCCTGGGTAAGCCTCTCTCCGCTATATTCTCCTAGTATTCTCTAGAGTAGCTGCTATCACTATCCAGTTCTCAACCCCCTTCTCTGTTTCTCTCACCACTACCACTGCTCTGAGATTTTATAAATTTATAAGGTATGGTTAAGTAGTTATGAAATTAATCCCTATAGGGAAGAATTTTAGAAGCCTCTGGAAAACACTTCTGACCTATCTCTGCTTTCTCAGAGCTTGTTAGTGACACGCTTTACAGTTCCAGTTAAAATGCAGATTCTCCAGAGAAAGAGACCAGAATGGCCTAGAACAGCCTGTTACACCGGGTACAGATCCCTTAGGTTAGAACCCTTTCTGAGAGCGAGCAGGAGGGTCTGGGAGCACAAGGACAATGCGAATACGCTTGGCTTTGGTGTCACGTCCATGTGATATGACTATGCTAGTGGTCTCTCTTGAAGTATGTACAGTGTTCATGTTTGTGCATTTACTCCTGTGTACATGTGTATGTTTGAAAAGGGGTATCTATATGTGTTTTTTTCCTGAACAAGAAGTGTATGGATTGACTGAACATGTGGAGATATGTGGACGCATACCTTTGTATGTATAGGTGTCGTGTGTGTGTGTGAGAGAGAATGTATTTGAATGTGTTAGCAGATATGCATATATTTACCAGGTATTTATTGAGACCTTTGCATGTAGTAAGCATTATTCTAGGCATGAAGGTGTTTGGTAGAACATCCATGTGAATGTGCATTGGCTCATTTGCATGTGGGTAGTTGTCTATACTGAGTGTACTTGAAGGTACACATTACCTGTGTGTGACTTTCTTACCTGGATATGTGAATGTGTGTGTGAGGGTGGCTCTATGTATGTGTTCCCATGTACTTGAAGTATTATGCATTTACATGAGTGTATTTCAGAATATGTATAGGAATACTCGACGTGTGTGGGGGGGGTGGGGGAGGACATGTTTATGAGCGTGTATGGATGGATCTGAAAGTGTACGGACATGTAAACAGGCATATCCATGTGATATCTGGATATGAATCTAATGTTTGATGACTAGATGTGTGAAGACCTTTGTTGGCGCCATCAGTGAGCAGAATCCATGTGTATACCATGTAAGCATATGAATTGCTGTGTGTGTGCATGAGGGTGATGGGTGTGGGCACACTACTGTCATGCTAGCATTCCAACTCTGCCTTCTCCCTCCACACAGACATCAACATGGCTGGAGAGCCTAAGCCTGACAGACCCAAGGGGCTAAAGAGAGCAGCATCTGCCATATACAGGTGGGGCTGTCTGTCTGTCTGTCTGGGTGGGATGGCTCTCTCTTTCCACAGAGGGAGTAAATGCTGGTGTGACAGTGTGCTGAGTCTAGAACTTGGGGAGGTGTTTGGAGATGAGGACCTGTGGAAAGTGGGCTGAGTGGCCGTCCCTAAGCTCCAGCCCTCTCCCCTTTGTTTCCTCAGTGGCTACATCTTTGACTATGATTACTACCGGGACGACTTCTACGACAGGTGAGCAGGGGAGGGGCGTGCCCAGGCGTGAAACAGCCAAGCTGGAAGGGTCCTGAGAGATTGTTGGTGCAGCCCACTCAGTTCTCCAAATGAGAACCAAAGCCCAGAGGTTTGCCTAGGGTTGCTCCACCAGTCAGTGGCAGAGCTGAGACTGGGGTCCTGTTCTGCAGATACTCAGGCCAGAGCTCCTACTGCCATAGCACACTGTCTACCACGCTAACTACCCGTTTTCCTTTTTGTCCTTGGGTGAGACTCAAGGAGACTGTACAGCCAAGAGCTGTATAAATGTGGCCAGTTGGAATACACAACAGGGTACAGCGCTGGTTGCAGAGAGTTTGAGCCTTTCCCTCTGTGAGGTACCCAAGCAGCTGGTAGGAACCCCAGAGCTCAGTCTAAGCCTCTTGGGTTTATATTTAGAGACAAGAGGCCAGCAGCCGTTTGGAAGTCTGATTAGTCCCTGATGGGCTGTGGCCTACCCTCTACTCCGAAGCCCTACCCAGACTCCAGCCCGGAGGCTGTGGGCTCCCACTACAACAGCACTAGCCACATTCTTGAGTAGAAATCATGGTAGAGACTAACTCAAATCTCTCCTCCTACCTGCTTCTCTCCCTCTGTCCATCTTAGCCCACCCCAGGCAGCCCAAGAAGAACAGTGCCTCTCTGAGCATCAGTCGTCCACCCCGACCCCCTGTGAGTGGTTTCAGGAGACTGTGTGGTGTAGTGGGAAATATTCTGGGAGTCGGAAGATTTAGGTGCTAATCTCAGCTCTGCCACTGAATGGATTGTGTGACCTTGGGCAAATTCCCTTCCCAGTTTGTGAAATGGGCTTGCACCAAGTGATCTCTCCAGGCTCCTCCAGCTCTGGGATTCTGTGGTTCAGTGATTCTGACCAAGGCCAGAGCCGTCCCCTCCCCTTGGGGGCAGAAATGCAGGGTCTGGGATTGGATCCATTCCCAGAGACTCTCCATCTGCAGCCATCACCACCTCCAGGGAGGGGCTCCCTGAACAAAGGAGCCCCAAGGAATGGGGCTTTGGCCCAGTGGTGACAGATTTCCTGGCTGTTGTCAGGAAAAATGATATGGAGTATACCCCCTACGGCCGCAATTCCCTGAAAAGGGTGGTAGCAGCAGATGTGGGAAAGACTGCTTCTCAGCCTACTCAGTTTCTGCCTGGTCAGCTGGAAAGGAAGCTCTCCGGGAGAGGGCTGGGAGATGACTTTGGTTGGGAGCAATGCACAGCCTGGGAGCCTTGGGGGGTCTGATTGAGCTGCCTGACCTTGATACTGTCCCAGGCCCCTGGCCTTTGTCTCTGGAATGGAGCATGAAGGGTGTGGTGATTAAGGAGGTCAAGTAAGGAAAGGGCTTAGACTTCAGTCTTACGCCTCTGAGGTCATGGGCTCGTGAGCTGAGGGTCTCAGTACCCTGACCTTTCATCTATTAACACATTCTAAAGTGTGTTTTTAACCGAATTCTTTCATGCTGTACCCTTGGGTGGACACTGAATTTGGGTAGCCGTCCTCTTTTGGCATATGGGGAAACTGAGGCTTAGGCAGGCTCAGTTGACCCCCACTCCCATACCTCTCTAGTCCTAGCTGGGGATTTGTGCTGCTTTGAGAGTTGCAGACTCAGAGCAGAGGTTGGGGTGGCAGTTGACCAAGCAGAAGTCAGGTCATGTAATAGAGCAGGCCTGGTTGTCAGGGGACCCAGGGATGTCTCCTCTTTTGAATGGGGTATAACCACTACCACCTGCTGCCTTGCCTACCCTTACTTGGCCTGGATGGTTGGAGAGGTTGTAGTGAGGTCGTGAGGATCCCAACAGCCATCAGGGTCCGGAAAGCCCTTCCTCTTCACTCCAGGGCTAGCTGGGAGCCTGCAGAGTTGTGTTTAGTGCAGGCCTCCCAGCCCCTCACCAGCCACACACATTTGGAGCTGGAGCTGCAATACCTGCCTGGTGGCCACAAGCCATGCTGCAGCCTCTGGCCCATCTGCCCTCACAGGCTCTTCGACTACCGGGGCCGTCTGTCGCCGGTGCCAGTGCCCAGGGCAGTCCCTGTGAAGCGACCCCGGGTCACAGTCCCTTTGGTCCGGCGTGTCAAAACTAACATACCTGTCAAGCTCTTTGCCCGCTCCACAGCCATCACCACCAGCTCAGCCAAGATCAAGTGTGAGTAACTGTATCATCTTTTTTTATCATTAGCAAAATAATAGAATGACATTTTTTTACATTGGAAAATAGATAAAAGAAAAAATCTTCCACAATTCAGCTGCTCTGACACAATCACGTATTTTCATGCATTTCTGTGAGGAGACAGCTGTTTTAGGAGGAGGGGGTGGGTTGGGTAGGGTACAGAGGGTCCAGTGCTGGATATGGTGCCCAGTGAAGAAATGATGCCATCTTTAGGAAGGATAAGGACGGGTCTACACAGGCCCACTACTCCACATTCACTCTGGTACACACATACTGCTTAACTAAGCACGCAGGAATTCAGATTGCAGAAGACATGTTCTTACTCAGGTGCGCATAGAAGAGCACACCACACATACACACCTGTGCTCCTGTCTTTCCTGGGTCCCTTTCAGAGTTGAGATATCGGGAGAAAAGAAAGCCAGGTTCAGAAGTGTTCACTGTCATTGTAGGGATGGATGCCAGGTGGTCTAAGGAGGAGGCCTTTTCCCTGAGTAGGGAAAAAAATAATAATAACTGCTTTCCTGGTTGAAAGAACAGGGCTGAGGTTTTGTGCTACTGTCAAGCCTCCAGCCCCATAGATGACAGCCCTGTCCCCCCTCCACTCCCAGTAAAGAGCAGTGAGCTGCAGGCCATCAAGACGGAGCTGACACAGATCAAGTCCAATATCGATGCCCTGCTGAGCCGCTTGGAGCAGATCGCTGCGGAGCAAAAGGCCAATCCAGGTCAGCCTCTGAGGATTCTCACCCACCTCCGCGACCAGGGCACAGGGCAGAGCATGGGGAAATAATACATGGGAGAGAGGAGCTAGGGTGGCCCTGCAGATCCCGAGCCACCTGCACTCACCATGCTGAGGCCAGCTTCTGCTAAGGTGCTGCCCTAGACAGCTGCCCCAGGCTGAGTTTTATTCTCCCCTCCTCCTCCCCTTCCCCTCAAGATGGCAAGAAGAAGGGTGATGGAGGTGGTGCCAGCGGTGGTGGTGGCGGCGGTGGCGGCAGCGGTGGCGGCGGCGGCGGTGGCGGCGGCGGCGGCGGCGGTGGTGGTGGTAGCGGCAGCCGGCCACCAGCCCCCCAAGAGAACACGACTTCTGAGGCAGGCCTGCCCCAGGGAGAAGCACGGACCCGAGATGACGGCGATGAGGAGGGGCTGCTGACACACAGCGAGGAAGAGCTGGTGAGGGCCTGGCCAGGGGCACGACTGGGACTTGACTGCGCTCCTACTCTCAGGAGACCAACAGGGCAACGGGCAGCCTGAGCTGGTTGCCCCCACTGTGAACTTCCTCTTCTCTCCTTCCCAGGGGTTCTAACGGTCCTGGGGGAAAGAGGGAAGAATGAGCAGGGGGCACTTGCCTATCTCAGACACCATCAGAAGTCCCACTGAGGCCTAGGGCAGACCTCCCCTAAGTGCAGGTGCATTTTGGCCTCCGGTTTCCACATGAGTTGGAGAAGGGGAGATTTGGACATAAGAGAGCACACATGGCCTGCAGAGCTTCAGAGCAGGGCTGGGGTGGCTTGTGGAGGCCACACCCAGGAGGTGGGTGTCACCTTCACATGAGGATTTTCTAAAAGCCGTTGCTGCTCAAGCACGAAGCAAAAGCTGTCTCATAAGGGAGTGAGCTCCCCACCTATTACTAGAACTATTCAGGCTGAGGGCGGGAGGCCATTTGACAAGGAGCTTATGTTGAATGGGAGGGTAGACCAAACTCTGAGTCTGTGGGATATGGGTTGTGTACTTGCTGCTCATTTACTTAATGAACTCTCATTGAGCACCAAGACCCAGACCACACTCTCTAACTTCACATAACCTTAACAAGAGCCCTGTACTATGCAGAGTATTCTGTTCCCACATTTTACCCTGTGAGGAAACCGAGACTCAAAGACTGAGTGGCGTGCTTAGGGAATCAGCTCATAGGGACTGAACCAGGGTTGGAGTCTAGACTGACTTGCTGGGTCTGCAGCTTTCTCCTTTTCAGCACTGCTAGGTTCTATCATGAGAACAGATGGGCTCATGGCCATGACAGTTAGGAGGTCTGCCTTATGCCCAACTCATCTCTCAGTGTAGCCTGATCCTTCATCTTATTTGCTCAGGCATAGCAGTGTCCATAAAGGCCCTAACAAAGACTTAGATGCCGCCAGAGATGGGGAGCTCACCAGTCTATAAGGCTTTCAGCCTTCTCCAATGCAGGCTGTCTATGCACAGAAATGGGGCTCCTGCGACTCCCAGAACACCCTTCACTCCTCAGACCACCCTCACAAGCTTCCAAGCCAGCTTTGTTGGCTGGTCCCATAGTCATTCCCCTTGGCTGTTCCTGCCTTTTCTGACTGTGTCCTCTAGATGCTCTCTGGACCCTGAAGTTTTTCTGGACAGATGGCTCAGGGCAGGACTCAGAGCTGCAGTGAGTGATGTGTGGTCTCTCTTACCTCCTCCCTATCAGGAACACAGCCAGGACACAGACGCGGATGATGGGGCCTTGCAGTAAGCAGGTACAGGGGTCCTGTCCTGATGGGCAGAGGGTGGGGAAGCAGTGAAGTGGAGGTTGTTGCTTTTTCCCTGGATTGTGCAGGAAGTGTCATGAAGCATACCTGGCCTGGTAGCACTGACTGTGCCCAAGAATGAAGTCCCTTCCATATCTAGCCGTCCCATCACACCCTTTCATTCCTAGGGCTTGCCATGCTGGGGAAGCAGGTGCCGTAGATGGGCCAGCTGGGCCCGCCTAGCAATGGTTCCTTCCCTCAGCACATTCAGCCGTGTTGCCTGTCTCTGCCCTTGAGGAGCTCCTAGTCTGGTAGAGGAAGATATGAGCCATTACCACCTAGTGTGAGCAGGATAACAATAGAGCGAGGCCAGGTCATGGAAGAGATGATGTGTAGCTGAGCCTGCTAGTGATTGAGGGAGCAATGTTCCACACCAAGGGAATGGCCTTAGCAGTACAGAGCTGTGACAGTCTTTGGTATGTGGTGAGGCCAAGAGCCTCCTGTGGCTGCAGTGCCCGGCTAGTTGGTATAGGACTCTGCTTAGCATCAGAGGGTGATTGTGAAGGACCGTATGTGTCAGGCTTAGGGGCTGGGATTTGATTCTTTCATGGGGAGGAAATGCCCTGTATGACAGGAGCTACACCTGCTTTCTCTGAGTTCATCTTCAGTCCCACAAGCTGATGATTGTACCAATATAATAGATGTGGAAATGGACACTAACGGGGGCAGGGAGATTAGTAATTGGTGGAGCCTGGATTTCAGCCCAGTGGTGTTAGGCTTCAAAGCCCACTCTCTGGCCACTGTTTACCATCTACTCTGCCCTACCTTGAAGGAAAGCCAGGCCACACCTAGCTCTGCCTACTCTCTGACCCATTCCTTTGGGGTGCCTTGGGTGGAGAAAGGTCTCAAACAGCAGTGTTCCCAGGGAGGTGTCTGGATAGATGACACATTTATGCTGTAGTAAGGTATCCCACCAGCAAAGGCCCCAAGAAGAACTTTAGAAAATTCTACATATGCCGCAGTCTTCTTTTGGAACTTCTTGGTTTGTTTTGTCTGGAATGCAAACAAACCTCCATATCCAGCCATCCTGTTACACCCGTTTGTGCCTGATGCTTGCCAAAGCTTGTTAAAATAGTTCACAGGTGAGTTACATGGGCTCAGGTGAGGAAATGGAGGTTCAAAGAGCAGGTGAGACTTGCCCAAGGTTACATGGCCAGGAAATTATGAGGCCACAGCCAGAGTGCAAGAGTATCTCTGTCTCCAGACATCATTCTATCCTTTCTTCCCTACCCCTGTTATTAGCACCAGGGTCTCTTCCTCTCGGCCTTAGTCTCTTCTTTGTCTCTCTCTCTCTCAGCCTGACAGGAGCAATGGCCACCAGCAGGTGAAGGGCATCGCTGCCCCAGGCCTCAAGCCGGGCACCCAACCCTGGATGCCACCCCCCAGCGGGTACCAGAGGAAAGCTGGCAGCAGGTGCCTCCTCCCCCAACGCATCCCAGCCAGTGCCATATCCTCTGCAGGTGGAGTTACTGGCCTACTCCTTCCCCATGAGCCCTCCCTGTCTGCACTGCCCAGGCCAGAGGGTAGAGCACAGGAGTTTCCCCACACTGCCTCCCCTCCCCAGGACACTCCCAGGCTTGGGTTTTTTCTATAGGTTTGGCGGGGGGCCACAGGGAGGGGACCCTGACAATAAAGAAATTGGATCCCAGCCTGCTCTGAGATGGGATGATTTGTGTTTTCTCATGAAGATATCCCAGCCCTTCTGCCCACCAAAAAGCTGGTCTGGGGTGCCTAATACTGATCCATCTGGACCTTAGTGTCCTCGGTGGTGATTAAAATGGCCAGTGGGGCCACTGGGGAGGGTTGGATATGCTGGCCCATGAGCAGCTTGCTGGCTGAAATGTCAAGCAGTTGTGACCCACTTGGTTTACCCCATAGTAAGTCAAGACCTTATCTCTTTCCCCGGCTTCTAAGTCTGGTCTTTCCCAGCTCTTAAAAGGATTCTGGAGTCTGCCACTATGTACCTTCTCTCTTCTGGCTGAGGACACTATAATTTTTTCACTTGGACTTTGTCCTCCCACCAGCCTCCCAGTCTCCTGCTTCTGCCCTATACCATCTCCCAGCAGCCATGCAGTCTTTCCAAATGTATCCCTTCCCTGCCTAAAATCCCTTTACTGACTCTTCCTCCTGAATGTGGGGTGTAAGATCCTGCTTACTCCAGCCTCTCCTGTTTCTGTCACCACCCCTTTCCTGCCCCTGACACAAACCCTACATCTCAGCCTCACAAACCACACAAGTTCTTCACACTCCAGGCAGGTTTGGTAGCCAGGAATAGAGTTGCACTCCACTGACAGCAAGCAGTAGGAAGTTTGCATCAAGAAACACGCAGCCTGTCTGCGCCTGTCTTGGGCCACCCATCTAGACATTTGTTCTCTAACAATCAACCGGGTTCCTTCAAACGTGTGCTGCTTACACATGCTCATTGTGTACTGCTAATGTCACCTCCTTCCCCCTTAACTCCTCACAATGAATGGATCCATTTTCCCCATGTTCAAGTTCCCAAGAGAGAATCAACTGCCACTGCAATTTTTTTTTTCCTAATCACTCGTAGGTTACAAGTTCCCACTCTGTTCCAGTGAGCTGCGGGATTCATATGTGGCCACTTAGGCTGGTCTCGTTGATATGGAGCTGTGGGAGGGCAGCACCCAGAAATAGGCTTTGTTCCAGGCCTGGCACGCACTCTTCCTGCTCCTACTTTCTCTACCTGGGAAATAGCCGCTCAGGATGAAGCTGCTGCTGTGGTGTCGCCACCTCTGAGAAGTCTCCCAGACCCTCCGACTGCTCGTTAATTGCTCATCGTTCCCCCAAAACAGAATTCAATCCCATCATCAGAAAGGGCTTTAGGTTTTCCCTCCATCTTCACGTGTTGCTCAGAGTTTGCAGATCTGCTGGAGTCCTTATTGAAAACTCCCGTTTCAAACCAACCTGATCTACAGCCTCTAAAGAAGCTTCCCCCTGGGCTTGCTCTAGGTTTTGGTAGAGGGTGGAGGCTTTGGGCAGTGCTCAGACTCCACAGGGAAGTCTTTGTTGTCCATGTCTCTCTCACTGAGCAGTCCTGCTGCCTGTCATCCTTGGCAGGCCAGCACTCTGAGGTCCCAGTGTAGCTCTGCGCTTTGGTCTTCCCAAGCTCTCCTGGGGCCTGACTAGGCCAGCCCCAAGGCGGCCAGAGTTCTGGCCTCATACCTGAGCCAAAGGCCCCAATCCCTGCTTGGCCATTGCCTGAGTATTAGCTGCCCCAGCAGGATCACAGTCCCCATACATCTGCCTGCTAGGGACCCTGGGCAGCAGGGAGAGAGTTGAGATTTGTCAGGAGCCCATGGTGGAGGCTGAGACCTTAAGGCCATGAGATACAGGCATGGGGTGAGAAACAGGCGCCTTGGAATTGGGCTGGGCCTTGGCCCAGCTTAGTCAAATCCAAAGGCTTCAATTTGGAGAGATGAAGAGGGTGTACAGAGGAAGGGGCTCGGTCCACAACGAGTGCCTCATCTCCCTGAAGAGCTCTCAGTGGAACATACTTCACCAATCCATGTACCCACATCTTTGCTTGTCCAGAAGGCCAGAGTCAGCTCTAGCAGACCCATTTCAATACCCTGGCAAGTCATTACTGCCCTTAGCTCTTAGTGTCCCCATCTGTAAAACATGGGGGACAGCTGCTAGCCTGTATTGGAACTTGGGCAGAGTTCAAAGAATGGGATTTAGAGCTGAATGAACCTTGCACTGAGGGCATAATAGCACTAGGGCACTATCCCTGTGCCCCCAGAGCCTAGTGCTGTATGCCTGCTGCAGGCCCTACCCAAACGTGCTTTACTGAGGAACTCAGTGTTTTAGAGCTTGACGGTCAGGTTGATCATGCGCTTGTGACCATGGACTTCCTTAGTATGCCAGGCTTGGAGGACCGTGAGAAAAGCAGGGAAGACACTTTCAGGGGTAGCAGGCATCAGCTCTACTCACTCCTGCCCATAAGGCCTTGCCTAGTCATGCTGGCACCAGGTCATAGGCTGGACAGGGAGAATGAGAGTCCCGTCGGGTATTCCAGAAAAGCCCCTGGATGCTCCCCCCGGGAAAGCACACAGTGGGACCCTCGGGTAGGAGGTTGGGTTCCAACACTGCGTACACGTGCCCTTCCACCGCGTTGGGGCAGCAAAAACATCCATTCTGCTGTGCAACAGTTGTCATTTTTCTAACATCTGAAAACTCCAAAAGGAGATAGTGATAAATGTGGTACCAGATTCTGCCCAAAGGACCAGTCTTTAGATGTTTTCAAGATTGGAAACCTCATTTTTGATCCTCACAGCTATCTTGAAAGAATAGAGCAGCCAGTGGGTATACTGGATTGTGAGCCAAGAGGCCTGGGGCTTTCCCCCTGTTGCTGCCAGCCAGGTTGATGACTCTGGGCAAGTCTTTTTCCTTTCTAGATCTGTTTCCTCGGCTGTAAAATGACAGGTTGATCCAGATCAGGGATAGTAAATGGGCCTTCGTTCAGTTACTGACTGTTGTATAACCACCCCCAAATTTAGTAGCTTTAATAAACATTAGCTCCCGATTGTGTGGCTTGGCAATTTGAGCTATGTTCAGCGTGGCGGTTCTTATTTGGACCCTCATGGCTGAAGTGAACTGGCAGATCAGCTGGGCACTGGCTGGTCTCAGATGGCCTCCCCCACATGTCAGGTGGTTGGCTGGGCAACTGGGCCACATGTTCCAGCACCTAGCAGGCTGACCCAGGATTCTAGACATCATGGCTGAGTTCCAAAAGCCACAAGAGAACACAAGCCCAGTGTCAAGTGCTTTTGAGGATCTTGCTGTGTCATATCTTTAAGGTTCCATTGGCCAAAGTCACATGGCTAAGCCCAAATTCTTCTTAACAGGAGGAGCTTCAAAATACGGCCATATTTTAAAAATCTACCTCAGGTCTCAATTCACTTGCCGGCTCAGAACTTTTAGTAGCGGCTGCCTGGAGTGCCTTTTGAGGATCTGCAGCAATTTTTAGACTGTTTGGAAATACTGATGTGATAGTTTGGCAGTGTCTCTTATGGGCACGGAATTCAAGTGTGGGCACATGTCAGGTATTTGCCAGCCCTGGCCAGGTTGACCCATAAGGTCATAACCTGCCCCATAGGATGTTATATGCAGTGGGTCTGTCTGACAAGACCACAGAAATACAGAAGGCAGAACAGGGCAAAAGATTCTGAGCCAGGCATCCTTGGTTTTCTTTTTTTTTTTTTTTTTTTGAGACAGAGTCTCGCGCTGTATCACCCAGGCTGGAGTGCAGTGGCGCGATCTCGGCTCACTGCAAGCTCCGCCTCCCAGGTTCACGCCATTCTCCTGCCTCAGCCTCCCGAGTAGCTGGGACTACAGGCGCCCGCCACCACGCCCGGCTAGTTTTTTGTATTTTTAGTAGAGACGGGGTTTCACCATGTTAGCCAGGATGGTCTCGATCTCCTGACCTCGTGATCCACCCACCTCGGCCTCCCAAAGTGCTGGGATTACAGGCTTGAGCCACCGCGCCCGGCCGCATCCTTGGTTTTCATCCCAACCAGATCATAGATTCATTGAGGTTTTAGGCAAATCAAAATCCCTTCACCAGTAGCCAGACTCTTCATAATAAACTTCATCCATAACAGTAAACCATTTCCTGAACACTTGCTGTTAAAAAGCACATTTTACACTTACTTAATTTCCATAACCACCCTCAGTAGGTGTAGTAAGGACTTTTGGTTACAAGTTACAGAAACTGAATTCAGTCCTGCTTTAGTGGAAGTTTATTAGCTCACAAATTATAAAGTCCAGGGATGGATCTTCAGACATGGGGACTTGGGTTCAAAAGCTGCCATCAAGAGTCTGGTTAGCCAGGCATGGTGACACGTGCCTGTAGTCCCCGCTACTTGGGGGACTACAGTGGGAGGATCATTTGCACTTAGGAGGTTAATGCTGCAGTGAGCCATGATCCTGCCACTGCACTCCAGCCTGGATGACAAAGCGAGACCCTATCTCAAGGAAAAAAAAAACTGGTTTTCAGGCAGGTTCCAGGTAGTGGTAGAGCATGGCCATAGGGCCTGTGAGGGTAGAGGGATGGAGGAGAGAATTCCCAAAAGGAGGACAAGCCTTGGTTAACAAAAACAGCAGGAGTCCACTGTGTGGTGATGACTATTCTATAGATTTTGTAGATGAGATTTAAAAGCATGGCCCCAAGTAAAGGTGGCATCTCTATCCTTCTATCCTCGCCTTTATCTAAACTCTGTGACCGATCTATAGCATATGATGGTGGTGGTGCTCTGCCAGTCTCCCAGTCCGGGACTTAAGCATTAGCAGCTGCCACTTACCATCTCTTGGGACCCAACCACCGTGCTGTGAAGCAGCCCAGGCCATACAGGCCACGTGTACATGTTCAGCTGACAGCAGTATCAAATGTCAGACATGAGTGAGGAAGGCTTCAAGATGATTCCAGCCCAGCCACTGTCTGAGGACAAAGTAAGAACTGCCTCACTGATCCCATTCAAAGTCCAGCACAACGAGAGATAATAAAATGTTGTTTGCAGATGCTAACATTCAGAGTGATTTGTTATATCAGTAACCAGGACACAGGCCCAGAGGTTCAGTAGCTTGCTGTGCTGCTCATGGGACTAGGTTAAGAGTATAGATTTTGTTGCCGGGCGCGGTGCCTCACGCCTGTAATCCCAACACTTCGGGAGGCCGAGGCGGGCGAATCACGAGGTCAGGAGATGGAGACCATCCTGGCTAACGCGGTGAAACCCCGTGTCTACTAAAAATACAAAATTAGCCGGGCGTGGTGGCGGGCACCTGTAGTCCCAGCTACTTTGGAGGTTGAGGCAGGAGAATGGTGAGAACCTGGGAGGCGGAGCTTGCAGTGAGCTGAGATAGTGTCACTGCACTCCAACCTGGGTGACAGAGCAAGACTCTGTAAAAAAAAATATATATATATTTTTTTAATAATTAAATATATTTATGTGTATATATATATATTTTTGGACAGAGTTCCTAATCAAATTATTTGTTGTGTGACCATAGGCAAATCATTAGCCTCTCTGAGCTTCATCTTTCTCATCTAAAAACCAAAAGACCACATCCTATTACGAAAATAAATGAGAACATTTACCACCACCTAATCCAGTGCAGATTCAGGTGATTTTCCCTGGAACCAAGTAACAGACCATAATTTCCTTTTTTTTTTTCTCTACTTATTCATACCCACTTTGTTCCAAAACATTTCAGGCATCTTAACAAGGAGAAAATGAATAAAATATAAAAATGAGGTAAAGGAGATAATGGAAAGAAGGCTTTTTTTGATGTTCCAGCATCTTTTGAGTTACTATAGTCAAGAGTGGTGTGTCGGTTGGTCACTAAGCCTCGTAGGGCAACCCAGCTGGCCCTCTGCACTTGAGTGAATGGACACCTCCCGCCAACTGATGTGTGGGTTCCTGGCATGCACACATCCCCTCACTGCACCTCCTGCGGGAGCCCAGATGACCTATCCTACAGAGGTGCAGTAGCTGGGTCCTCTTTGGACAAGTGCATGGGTTTGGCTCTCCCAGGTGCATGGAACAGAAACGGGCAGGGTTACCCGTTCTCCCTGACCTGCACCTTTTTTCTTCCCTGTCCTCTAGTCTCTAACACTTAAGCCCCCTCATCCCTCAAACTCCACCTTCAGTGTTTCCATCTCCCTGACCATGCAGTGAAGCTGCTTAAGGCCAGAGACTGTCTCATTCATCCTTGCCCATAAATCTTTTACACGTGTATTTGTGACGTGGTCAACTATTTATGAAACATACAATAAAGTATTTACTTTTGTGTTAATTTTTTTGAGACAGGGTCTTGTTCTGCTGCCCAGTCTGGAGTGCAGTGGGCTCAAGCAATCCTCCCACCTCAGTCTCCCAAAGCAGCTGGGACCACAGGCGTGCGCCACCACACGCAGCTAATTTTTAAAATATTTGTAGAGATAGGGGTTTCCCTATGTTGCCCAGGCTGCTCTCGAACTCCTGGGCTCAAGTGATCCTCCTGCCTCAGCCTCCCATGGTGCTGGAATTACAGGCATAAGCTGCCACACTCAGCTACCTTTGTGTTCTTAATTGTATTCCACCTCCGCAGCAGCATTAGGCTCTACAGAAAGAGATGTGTGCATATATACATATATGTAGCATTTACGTGTGCCCTTTGAAGTTCTGTACACCCATTACATTATTTATCCCACACAATTGGGAAATTGAAATTTAAGGTTGAGTAATTTGCCCAAGATCATGTCACTTGAAGGAGGTAGAGGCAGGATGCAAACCTTCCCTGACCCTGTGAGAATAAACAACTCTGAAATTCCTCTCTTGGTTTTTGTGACAACAGTCTTTCCTGGCTCTCCTCTGAGCACTCCTGTTTCCCTTGCTGACTCTTCCCCTTGTGCCTGCATCTCTCTACCCTCTTTTCTCTGTACCCGCTCCCTGGATGACTTCATCCATGGCTTCAGACTCCACTCATGGCTCCATGATCTTCACCTCTAACTCATTTTCCCCCCAAGAACACCAGGGGAGTAGGTACAGATGCCCATCTAATAACTGTACTTCGATGTCCACAAGAACCTTTCCAGCCCCACTTGCCTGTGTCAACCTCCACTGCTCCATTTTTCCCTGTTAATTTTTCCCTGGTACCTTAGGTCCTTTCTGTGTCTGTCTTGGACTTTTGCAGTAACCTCTAACTAGTCTCCCTGCTGCTCTTCCTACTCGGCTGTCTCCTTTATCACCATCCCATTGAGTGAGATCCACATCCCTTAGCATGACAAAGAAGACATCCGAGAGATGATTGACCCCTTCTTCTCAACACCTCCCCTCCCGCAGTCTGCCTCTTCCTCTCAAGCCACATGGAATAAATTGTGGAAAGACCTGTGCTGTCTGGCTTGTGCCTTTACACATGCTGTTGTCTCTACCTCGAATGCTGTGTTCCCCCACTGGCTAACCCTCGTTATCCTTTATAACAGCTCAGAAGTTGCCTGCTCAAAAACACCTCCCTGGCCTGAATTAGAACAGCCCTCCCATGTGCTGCTTCCATCACAGATCTTACCATCTATTATTACACACACACACACACACACACACCAGATGTGTGTATTTTGAGATGGGAGTCTCACCCAGGTTGGAGTGCAGTGGCACAATCTTGGCTCACTGCAACCTTTGTCTCCCAGGCTCAAGCAGTGCTCCCACCTCAGCCTCCTGAGTAGCTGAGACACCAGACATGTGCCACCACGCCTGGCTAATTTTTTTGTATATTTGGTACAGATGGGGTTTCACCATGTTGCCCAGGCTGGTCTTGAGCTCCTGAGCTCAGACAATCCTGATCCTGAAATTCCATCCTAGAAATTCAGCCCAATAAAAGGAAAATAGTTCTATGTGCCAGGCAGGCCTGGGTTAAACATACTATCTTACCATTACCTCTTTAAAGTGGACATTTTCCCACTTTATAGCTGAGAATATAGGATGATAATCAGTGGCAATGGGAGACTGCCACTGTGGACTGTTCAAAGCCCATGCTCAGCATTATCAAGAATTAGCAAGCACTTGCCTTTAGGATACTGATTTAACTATGGCATAATATGGATAGCCTTTTTTTTTTTTTTTTTTGGAGACGGAGTCTCGTTCTGTCGCCCAGCTGGAGTGGAGTGGCCAGATCTCAGCTCCCTGCAAGCTCCGCCTCCCGGGTTTACGCCATTCTCCTGCCTCAGCCTCCCGAGTAGCTGGGACTACAGGCGCCCGCCACCTCACCCGGCTAGTTTGTGTTTTTTTTTTCAGTAGAGACGGGTTTCACGTTAGCCAGGATGGTCTCAATCTCCTGACCTCGTGATCCGCCTGTCTAGGCCTCCCAAAGTGCTGGGATTACAGGCTTGAGCCACCGCGCCCGGCCATGGATAGACTCTTACGTGGTCTTTTAAAATTAAGCCTGTAATTTGGAAAAATGGTCTTGATACTAAAAAGTTATATGGTGGTTAGGATTATGGGAATTTAACATTTTAAATTATAATCTCATCTTCCCACCTCACCTGCTACAAAGTCCAGCTTCTAAGAACACATTGCAAAATTTAACGTTCTGTTCAATTGTGAAGCCTCAGTATTGTCAGAGCAAATATACGGAAGGGGGAGTCCAGGTGCAGAGCTGGGACCTCACATACCACAGCAGCACCTCTTCCAGACTGTCTGGCCCAGCATGTTTTCTGCAGAACCTGTCCTGTGTTCATCAGGTGAGGGGAGAAGTATGCAAAATTCTGCATATTTTTTACTCCCTTGAAAGAAACTAATTCAAATACATATCACCTACAACTTTCTAGGCATTGCCTGCTCTCAGTATGAATGAGTGAACAAAACAAAAGTGTCTGTGCTCAACACTTAACATTATGGTGTGCTGGAGAAACCATCTTTATAGTGGGCAGGGACCCAAGGAAGTGTGGGAGTGAGCCAGGTAGACACCTCGGGAAAAGCTTTTCAGACTTTCTCTAGGTGCGAGTAGGGGGCTTGCAAACAAGGTTTTCTAAAAACTAGAGCTACAACTGCATGTTTCCTACGTGCTGATGAAAATGCACAGCACTGGCCAGGTATGGTGGCTCACGCCTATAATCCCAGCACTTCGGGGGGCCAAGGTGGGCCGATTGCTTGAGGTCAGGAGTTTGAGACCAGCCTAGCCAACAATGGTGAAACCCCGTCTCCATTAAAAACAAAAATTAGCTGGCGAGGTGGCGGGTGCCTGTAATCCCAGCTACTCAGGTGGGTGAGGCAGGAGAATCACTTGAACCCAGGAGGCGGAGGTTGCAGTGACCTGAGATCTTGCCACTGCACTCCAGCCTGGGTGACAGTGAGATTCCATCTCAAAAATACAGCAACAAAAGAAGATGCACATCACCATATTAAAGATTTGTCAGGCAGTTATGAAACCCACTTACTCTGACTTTTTTTTTGAGACGGAGACTTGCTGTCGCCCAGGCTGGAGTGCAGTGGCACGATCTCGCCTCACTGCAACCTCCACCTCCTGGGTTCAAGCAGTTCTCCCGCCTCAGCCTCTGGAGTAGCTGGGATTATAGGCCACCATGCCCAGCTAGTTTTTCTGTTTCGGTTTCTTTTTAGTAGAGATGCGGTTTCACGTGTTGGCCAGGCTGGTCATGAACTCCTGACCTTGTGATCCGCCCACCTCAGCCTCGCCACCACGCCCAGCCTACTCGACTTCTCTTTACCATAGAACCCCCCTCTTCCTTTGTATAATTAGGAACAGTCCTCAACATTGTTTCCTAAGACACTTTGGAAATGATGGTCTGGTTCCCTTCCAAAACTAGAAAGTGGCTCTTGATCAGAAGCTCTTGATTGCCTTTGTGTTGTCACCACAGTGCAAGGTTCGTTTAGCTGAGCTGTTTGGTGAGAGACAGTGGAGACAGAAGAGGTTAGTGCTGCTGTGTCTGAATAACATTTAGGGGCAACCCATTACTTTTCATGCGCTTTCAATCCAATTCAGTCAGTTATCGCAACTGGACTAACAGGCTGCATCAGTCCTGAGAATCTGCTTCAAGAATAAAGTTAAAAATGGGTTGAAATCACCAATTTATTTGTCAACCTGTCACCAAACTGAAGAGTATCATTCCTTCCCCTAAGGGGTCCCACTAAATAAATAAACCAAACACACATACATACACAAAAGCAGTGGAGCGCTAATTACACAAGAGGCACCGATCCTTGCTTTATTCATGTAGAAATATCCAACATTGGGAATCGTGTGGGTGTAGATACAAAAAAAGGAAAATGGGGACATAAACAGCAGTTGGGTTCATTGTGGCGGTGGCAGTTCAGTCAGCCAGTGTGTGGGTTGAGGGAAAGCACCCTCTATTGCTTTACCCACCACCCTCCACTGTTTTAGCCAAGGTATTTGACAACACTTGGCCCATGCTTTAAAATTAAGGGTCACAGTGATTAAAAACAACATAGTCAAGACATTTGGGTCTGAGTGTCTGTTCCTGGGCTGCTTAGTACGAAGTCTGACAACAAGAAAGCGAGGAGCAACGTGTATGCCCTTATCCTCAGCAAGTGAGAGCAAGGCAGATCACAGCACAGACACAGAAGATGGCCTTCTCCCATGTGCCAGCGGAGAATCCCCTTCCAGCAAATCCTCAGGAAGCAGAGCACCACACAAGCAGCATTTCTTGGTTTCTCATGGTCATATTCAAAAGCAACTTTTAAATCAGAAAATAGAAAAGCATTTGTGGTGGGTCTTTTTCAAACCCAGAACACAAGTTGGCTAGGAAAACAGAAAGCTTCCTCTAGCATCCCTGTTTGGACTCCTCTTGGAGGAGTTTCCTGAACCGCACATACATTGCTTCCTCACCAACAGAGATGCTCAACTAGGATCTTTCTTAGTGTGCCAGTTATAAGATACATTTACAGGCTATGTTTCTAAGACCTCTTAGTGGTCAACGAGGAAGGAGGGTACCTAGCACCTTGTATTCCTTCATGTGGTAACAGCTGGGGGAGGACTTGGCGGTGAGGTAGTAGCAACCATCCTCACATAGGGAAAAGAAGTCAAATCTATGGAGTCATTCCCTGGACACTGAAAACAGGCAGTCCTCCCAAGTCTCAAGGTCCCACCACACACGCGTGGGAGGCCGTGTCTGCTTTAACTGTGTATCTCAAGAGAAGCAGAGAAGAAGAGAAATGGCTGCCCAGATGAAGTGCCTGTCGTTTTCAGAAACTGGAAGTGCCTGTCCAGTTTCTCAGGACAAGGATACAGAGACTGTCAGAGCCCAGGCCCACACAGTTTTCTATGGTTGGTTTTTTGCTGATTTCACCAAGCACAATTTTTATAGAAAAGAAAACTGAAGGACAAACCAAATTGAAAGAATCACTGTTATAATAACTTTAATTTATCTTGCATTTTACAGAAGTCTATGAACGATTTTAAAAAAGCACCTCCTTACCCCATATCACGTTTCTCTGACAGGTGTTAAAAGTAGGCAATGAGTATGTCAACAGCTTGAACATCAGCGTCTTGCAAGGACTTCAGACCAACCAACCACTCGCCAAAAATCTCGGCAGCTTTTTTATCTTGTTTTTAATACAACGGTATATCCACTCTGATGGCAAACCTGTCCAGCCACATCTCCACAACACGCTTTGCAAAATCAGTGATTAGCAAATTAGTTAGCTTTGGCACGGAGCTGTGCTCGCTTGCCTGTGACAGCCTGGAAGCCGGTTTTGATGCTGGCAACAGAACATCTAGAATGACAAGTTTCGCACTGTAGGAAATAGAGTCGTGTGTCCTTCTGTAGGATTGTGTCCGGTGATCGGCATGTGTGACAAGTGACATATTCCTCTGCAAATAAAGCAACACACAATTACCTGGTGGCCGCAGTGAGGTAGAGAAGTTTCTGCCTTCTTAAATATATCTCCTACAAAGAACTCCATAAGCCCAGGCTGAGAATTTACCTGGGCACCCAGACCAGGGAAGCTCAGCTATCTGAGGGGTAAGAAAACACAAGCTGTCTGCTGTGGCGTTTCCGGCACTAAACATGGGCTGATACTCTGCCCCAGGATGCAGGGAAGCCTGCCAGCTTGCTTATTCTTGTTTCTGTCTACAGGAGAGCCACTCAAACGTGTTAGCAGACATGCCAATTTTAAATAACTAGGAACAAAAGGGGGCCAAGGCCAGGCCTGAATCACAGGCAGGTTTCTCTGACTTGGCCTTTAGCCCTACAATCAACCAGCAGCTTCAATCAGCTGGGCTTTCTTTAAAAATCCAAATCCTTCCCTATGCCCCTAGTTAGTAGTCAAGAGCCACCTCCCTTTCACTATCATTTTGTCTCTGATCTTTTTAAGGCCAGCTTTTCCCAGCTCACTGCAATCAAATGGATCTTCTACAACACTGCAGCCTGATGAGAACATTTCAGGGTGATCTAATGAAATTAATTACACACTTACTGATATATCTTCTCAAGACATTTTCTATCTGTTTCTGTTGGAATCTTCCTTTGATTACAAGTTGGTTATTACCATCTATAGAACCACTATGAAAGAAAACAAAAATATCTCCATTATTATTGTTTTTTTCTAAAGGAACCAAATTCCAGCACCTTTAAACTTAATGAATTTAAAATATATTCAGTAGCATAGGATAAACTCTACGACTGGTGCTATACTACTTAGTTTCCCAAAATTTATTTATTTATTTATGACATGGGGGTCTCACTCTGTCACCCAGACTTGAGTGCAGTGGCGCAATCGTGGCTCACTGCACCTTCAATCTCCCAAGCTCAAGCAATCCTCCCACCTAAGCCTGCCAAGAAGCTAGGATACAGGCACTCCCCACTGTGAACTGAGCTAGGACTACAGGCACTCCCCACTATGAACTGCTAATTTTTTGTTGTTGTTGGTAGAGATGGAGGAGTCTCCCTATGTTGCCCAGGCTGGTCTCGAACTACTGGACTCAAGTGATCCTCCCACTATGGCCTCCCAAAGCGCTTGGGATTACAGGCGTAAACCACCACGCCCAGCCTCAAAATTTATTTTTAATTAAACAGGTTGTGTCTAATGATGTGCCCATACTAACATCAAATCCAATTAAATCTCCAGTGGTAACAATCAGATTTATAATTGATTTTAAGTCTAAAACAAACTGATTCCTTCATTGTGTGTGAAGTCCATCCAACAAAAGAAAAAAAACTTTTAGGAATCATACCATGTACAAAGTAAGGGAAAGGAGAGAGCTAGAAATACAAAAACATGAAAGGGGCTACATTTGTTTTTTAAAATTCTAAGCACCAAATATTTTGATTCAGTCATGGTTAAAAGTATAGTTGATAAAAATACATACTAAAATTGATTGTGGTAGCAGTTATACATATTAATTTTAACATGTGATATTAAAAACCACTGGAGCCAGGCGTGGCTCACACCTGCAATCCCAGCATTTTGGGAGGCCGAGGCAAGCTGATCACCTGAGGTCAGGAGTTCGAAACCAGCCTGACCAATACGGTGAAAACCCATCTCTACTACAAATACAAAAAAATTAGCCAGGCGTAGTGGTGTGTGCCTATAGTCCCAGCTACTGGGGAGGCTGAGACAGGAGAATTGCTTGAACCTGGGAGGCAGAGGTTGCAGTGAGCCAAGATCCGCGCCACTGCACTCCAGCCTGGGCGACAGAGCACAACTCCATCTCAAAAACAAAACAAAACAAAACAAAACAAAAAAACCATTGGATTGTATATTTTATTTTTATATTTTTTTTGGCAGGGGGCAGGGGGGTGTCCAGGGGTGGAGGTTTAATAGGCAAGAGAGAAAGGAGAATAGCTCGCTCGCTCTTGCGAAAGAGACGGATGTCCGAGTGGGACTCCCCTGGATTATATACTTTAAATTTGTAAGCTGTCATTTCAATCAAGCTGTTTCAAGAAAAAAAAAGGATAGCTGAATCACAATCCAGAAACTGTCAATGGTACTTAATGATAAACTGTTTGATAGGAAACTGTTGACAGGCACTTTTGAGAAAGCAAAGCTCTAGGCTAGATATCATTCATTCAAAATTATAAATCATAAAGTGAAACAACAAAATTCAGTCAGGCAGGGTTAAATTTCCTCCTCCACAGATTGGAACCCTTAATCTCCAGGCTACAGTGATTCCAATGCTTAATGTAGAAATTTTTTTTCATTCACTATCAAAAGAAATGGAATTTTCTGAAAAACCCATTTAACCCATTTGACTGTAAGTTTACTGGCCACAACTTGTTATAATAGTTTATCCCACCTCTACAAAACCTCTAGATTATTCTAACAATAGAAAAAAACAACACTAGCTTTTGCTTCTTCATTAGTTTGTGCAAGTTACAAATAAACAACGATGGTAACAAATTTATATTTAAAACACGCCGGGCGCGGTGGCTCACGCCTGTAATCCCAGCACTTTGGGAGGCCGAGACAGGCGGATCACCAGGTCAGGAGATTGAGACCATCCTGGCTAACATGGAAACCCCATCTCTACTAAAAATACAAAAAATTAGCCAGGCATGGTGGCGGGCACCGCTACTCAGGAGGCTGAGGCAGGAGAATGGCGTGAACCCGGGAGGCGGAGCTTGCAGTGAGCAGAGATCACCGCATTCCAGCCTGGGTGACAGAGTGAGACTCCATCTCAAAATACAAACAAAAAAACACAATTATTCTACAGCAGAGCCAACATATCTACCATGGTCAAGTAAATTACTCCTTAACCCCACACCAAGGGTAGCAAATCCCAACAGTTTAAAGAGAGTAGGAAGAGAACACTTTAATTATCTCTGTACTGCCAGTGAGGCACAGGTGTCAAGCCTGTTAGGTGATGCAAGCTGCAGGGAAAGATGGACGTGATTGTATCTATCTTGACTTTGCCACTAAGCAAGCTAGCTATGTGACCAACTACAACTTCACTTTACTGAACCTGTTTCTAAACGTGAAGACAGGAATATTACTTTCTACTTCATAGAACTATTGTGAAGATTAATTGAGATGGCACCCAAAAAACCACTTGGCTCACAAGAGGTGCTCAATATGCATTAGTCATCATCATCATAACCTACTCTACATTACTTATTTTTAAAGGGACATTAGGCTTCCAGATAGTAGTCAAACTCATTGGCATGGGCTCCATGAGATCTTGGCCTTCCTGAATGGGTGGGAATGACGTGCTCAGTGCCTTCAAAAGGTGAGCCCTGAAGACAGGTAAGTACCTACTTCATCACAGATCCCTGTTTCAATGGTTTCTAAAGTGCCACTCATCAACTTCCTAGCTGTATTTCTTCAATAGCCTGTTACCAATTTAGGAAAAAATAGTCTGACCTTAAAAAAACTGATTACTCTAAAGATCTAATATTTGCTCCATAAAAAGACTCATGAGTTTCAAATTAGTAACAGGAAAGTCTGAACATGGCAGTTCTGTGGTCCTCTCATTGGTACACCAGCAGCCTGTTCAGATGTCAACTCTGTGCCCTATTCCTAAGCAGTCAAGCTCTCCCACAGAAACAAAGTGATTTCACTCCTCCACTGGCCTAAAAGTGTCTCTAATAATCAGGTGAACGTTTTCTCTAAGTGTGTTACATATCCTTTTTAAGAAAGGTTCTTATGAAATGTCCAGCAATACTGTATGTAAACGTATATAGTTTCTTACCTTGTACCCAATTCAGCCAACAAAAATGCAAGGAGATGTTTGGGCTGACGATGTAATCTAAAAAGAAAATCAAAATATATAAACCTTATCTTTCATGGAAATCTCACCAAACTTCTAAAAAATCTGTTCATTGTTTTGATCTGTGATTATTTAGCTATTAGGTGAATTTCACTGCGTTTATTTAAACTTTGAAATAAAGATAAAGTATATGACACCACTTTTTTTACTGTTAAGAGATTGGGTCTTGTGTTGCCCAGGCTGGAGTGCAGTGATGATCATAGCTCACTGTAACCTCAAACTCCTGAGTTCAAGCCATCCTCCCATCTCAGCCTCCCAAGTAGCTAAGACTACAGGTGTGTGCCACCATGCTGTCTAACTCTTTAGTTTTGTGTAGACATAGGGTCTCACTACATTGATCAGACTGGTACGGGACTCGTGGCTTCAAATGATCCTCCTGTTTCAGCTTCCCAAAGTGCCAGGATTAGAAGTGTGAGCCAAGCCGGATACCACTTGTTTACAACTTCAGTGCCCATAAGACCATATTACATTTTATGACCATATACATATGAGTGAGTGTCTAGAAACAAGGATGGAAAACATAAACAGTAAACATCAACTTTAAAGAGTAACAACTTCCTCTGGGAAGGAAAAAGGGGCCAGGAAAACATACAAAGGTGGCCTTAGTTATAACTATAAAACCACCTTTTTTTCTTTTGTTTTTGAGACTATTGTAAAATAGCATAAAACCTTCTTTTTAAAGAAGTAGGCCAGGCGCAGTGGCCAGCACTTTGGGAGGCCGAGGCGGGTGGATCACGAGGTCAGGAGATCGAGACCATCCTGGCTAACACGGTGAAACCCCGTCTCTACTAAAAAATACAAAAAACTAGCCGGGCGAGGTGGCTGGCGCCTGTAGTCCCAGCTACACGGGAGGCTGAGGCAGGGGAATGGCATAGACCCGGGAGGCAGAGCTTGCAGTGAGCTGAGATCTGGTCACTGCACTCCAGCCTGGGCGACAGAGCGAGACTCCGTCTCAAAAAAAAAAAAAAAAAGAAGTAAAAAAATCTGAAGCAGAGTTCAGCATACACCAAACCTAGGTGATGTTATCAAACAGGCTAATAAATATATATGTTAATCTATATATATTTCCTGTTTAAAATTTCCATTAAAAGAAAGTGTATGTCTAGAAGGGTTCCGTGGTAGCACAACAGCAAAAAATGGAAACATCTTAAATATTCACCAACTAGAGGAATGGTTAAATAAATCCATTCCAGGGTATATTCTACTTTTAGAAATATCTCAATATACAAAAAAAAAAATGCACACATACATATAAAATAAAAAACAAATATAGAGCAATGCTATTCAATAGTTTCATTTTTTAAATCTATGCTGTGGCACTGTTTGAACTTGTTCCAACAAGCAGGTGCTACTACAACAATTTTAAGCTATTTTTCCCCAAAATGCAATGGGTGAGAACTGGTAAAAATATAATAAAATAGGTAAGCTCCTACATTGCTGGCGGGAATATGAACTGGCACAACCTTGCTAGAAAGCAATGTGCTAATATTTGCCATAAAAATATCCATTCCTTTTAACTCAGCAATTTCATCTTGTCTTATGGTTCTATTCTGAGCTACTGCAAAGATACATGTATAAAGATGTTTGGTGAAGTTTTGCCTGATAATAAAAACCTGGGAGCAGCATGTCCAGCTTATGGAACTGTTAAAATAAAATATGTTGTGTAGCTATTTAAAATAATTATTCGGACTAATGACATGAGTAAAACTTTCACAATATATCGAGAAAACAGGTTAAAAACCAGTATGATAATTTATTTTTAAAATATGTACATAAAACTGGCTAAACATAAAAATATTAAACTATGATAAGTTATCTACCTCTTTTTTTTTTTTTTTTTTTTTTGGTGAGACAGAGTCTCACACTACTGCCCAGGCTGGAGTGCAATGGCACAATCTCAGCTCACTGCAACCTCCGCCTCCCAGGTTCAAGCGATTCTTCCCACCTCAGCCTCCTGAGTAGCCGGGATTACAGGGACCTGCCAGCACGCCTGGCTTATTTTTTGTATTTTTTAGTAGAGACGGGGTTTCACTATGTTTGCCAGCCTGGTCTCAAATTCCTGTCCTTGTCATCCGCCCACCTCGGCCTCCCAAAGTGCTGGGATTACAGGTGTGAGCTACCACATGAGCTACCCAGCCAGTTATCTACCTCCTAATGGTGGACTTTGCAGATGATTATTCATTTTCTTTAGCATGTCTTTATCTTCTAATTTTTCTGCAATGGGCATATACTACTATTGTCACTAGCCAAAAAAATCTTAACTATTTAAATATATGTAAGTAATGAAAACAAGCAGTTATCTCCGGGTGGTAAAATTTTGAGTGAATATTATCTCTTTTTGTGTTTACCGTATTTTCTACTACAAGCACGTATCACTTAGGAAACTGAAGAACAGAGTAGATAAGGTCAGTCGTCCTAAGGAACCTGCCAGAAAACATGCAGCTGAGGAACTCAGAGAAAAGCCATTCCCAGACCGTAACCTAGGGCTGACTCTGGCATAGAATGTGATGGTAATTAAGAAAGGCAATTTCATCAATTGTGTCCTGGCAATGATCATCCAAGGAAGGGGCTCACCAAATTCAGGCACTTTCCCTGAGCTCACTGCTTGCTTGGCAGGCCAGTCCTAGACCGACTGATGAGCCTTTCCACTCCCTGGGCTCCCAAGGCTCCTGTCTGAGGACTACACTGAGACTCCTCACTCTTCACTACATCTAGTTAGGATCCATCCTCAATGGGTCAGCATGAGTTGATTTCTGTCACCTCTGAATGCACTAATAAAACAAGCACTCCTGGGCAACACAGCAAGACCCACGTTTCTACAAAAAAAATAAATAAATAAAATTTTTTTTTTAAATTGGTCTGGCATGCTGGTGTGCACCTGCAGTCTCAGCTACTTAGGAGGTTGAGGCAGGAGGATTGCTGAAGCCCAGGAGACTGAGGCTGCAGTGAGCCATGACCACTCCACTGCATTCCAGCCTGGGCGACAAAGCAAGACCGCATCTTTAATAAAATAAAATAGCCCTGAGACTTATGAATTGAAGAAAATGACAGACTTGAACTGTTAACTCCCTCAACCCCTACACTTGTGTGTTCTTTCCATCTATAATGAAGTCCACAATAAGGACATTTAGCATTCTTAAAATTGCATTGAGAATCTGGTATTTGGGATGAAGGTACTCCATTAACCAACTTACAGTTTACAGATATCTGTAAAGTTGACAAAAGAAGTTTTCTTGGTTCCTACTCGGACGACCTGTGGAGGTTTCATGACAAATTTCCTTTTCTCTCCAGCAACCATATCTGGATTCTTTTCCCTCATGATGTTGAATACTCGATTCAGCAACTATAAAAATAAAGTGGTATTCATGAACACGCTTAGTAACTGCCGGGGTATAAAGTTCCCCTTTGAGTCATGTTGCTTAACAGCAAATACTTCACTTCTGATTAAATATACACATGCATTACTACAAGTCTGGGAGCTCCTTGAGGGCAGAGGTTCATCCCCAACCAGCATTTGGTTCGTTATAGATGTTCAGCAACTCCTTATCCAAAGTGAAATGAATGAACAACTACATTCTGTTGTTTCTATGGGTAAGTACATGATACATGGAAAAGTAAGATTCAAGAAAGCCCAAACTAGCAAACTCCAGACTACCCTGGCCCCAAATTAGCTAGTCTGTCACTACTGCCCTCCTGATTCCTAGAGGGCTGCATGCACTCGGCAGTCTGCAAATTCAGGTGGGGACAGTCAGTAGTACTACAATGACTGCTGCACTCTGGGCAGGCTGCCCCATGGGTGCACACCAGGAACTGCTGTGCACTGGCTGTGTGACCTCTCTGCATCTGTTCCACCAAGGAAGATTTATCTTGCTCCTTTGAGCACTAGTGAATAGCTTAGCCCCTTTTCACAACAGATTTTGTCTTACCTCCTCGTATGTGTAGTCTCTTTCTGAGCCTGCCCAAGCAGGGCCTGTCTGATTACTGAATGAGATACCATCATCTTTTTTGCTGTCTTCATCTTCTAGAGCTACAGATAATAAAGATTTTAACAATGAGGGGTGGGCCCTACTATCATACAAAAGTGGGGGTGGGTCTAGAAAAATGAAAAGTTTCAAAGACATTTGTCTTCCCTTCCACAGCTGCATTCACAACAGCCTTACGCATAAACCAAAGCTTACAACCATTTTCCTTAGAAACAGGGATGTTATGACTTTCAAAAAAGACCCTTAATAGAGACCTCTCTAATTAGGAGTTAACATACGGAAATGTTTCTTAATTTAACAAGCCAAAGATAAAATAATGCATTAGAATAATTAGAGGAAAGAGTCCAACTGTTCTGAGCACCTAAGAAACAGCAACATCCATAAAACTCATCTACTGACAAAAGTTCTCCAAAGACCCCATAGCATTTAGAAACTAATAAAACTGTAAACAAAACTTTAAAAAAATTTTTTTTATTAAAAAAATTGGGGCCAGGCGCTGTGGCTCACGCCTGTAATCCCAGCACTTTGGGAGGCCGAGGCGGGCGGATCACCTGAGATTGAGAGTTTGACACCAGTATGACCAACATGGAGAAACCCTGTCTCTACTAAAAATACAAAATTAGCCAGGCGGGAGGCTGAGGCGGGAGAATCGCTTGAACCCGGTAGGCGGAGGTTGCGGTGAGCCAAGAGCGTGCCATTGCACTCCAGCATGGGCAACAAGGGCAAAACTCAGAATCAAAAAAAAAAAAAAAAAAAATTAGGCCAGACACGGTGGTTCACACCTGTAATCCCAGCACTTTGGAGAGGCGAGGCGGGGTGGATCACAAGGTAGGAGTCAAGCCAACTGGCCAGATGCATGGAAACCCTGACTTACTAAATAAAATAAAAAAAATTAGCTGGGCGTGGTGATGGGTGCCTGTAAATCCAGTTCTGGAGGCTGAGGCACAGAACGCTTGAACCTGGGAGATGGAGGTTGCAGTGAGCTGATGATGCACCACTGGCACTCTAGCCTGGGTGACAAGAGTAGACTCATGTCTCAAAAAAAAAAAAAATCGGTTATAGTAATTTTCCCAAGCCTGAATCGGTATTTCTTAATGTAATCACAATTGACAAATTCTTTAACTGCCATTATCAAGCCAGACACTGTTTCCTTTCAGCTTCTATTATCAGGCAGTAGAAATAAGGGGCAAGAAAAAAATTTTAAAAGCACCCCCCACCCCCATCAAGGAGACTAGGGCCAAAGGCTTGAGTAACCTCTAAATGTGCTGCTGAGTCCTCAGCATTACCTTCATCTTTCTCTAGTATTTCATCCTCATCTGGGAACTTAACATTCTTCTTTTTCTTCTTTTTATTGCCAAGCATAATGTCAAGGTCATCCTCTGGTTCAGTTGGTTCTTGAACATCACTATCAATCTTAAGATCCTAAGAAAGTGAGATGAGTCTGAACATTTGATACTGGGACTATTCTTTTTATTTATTTTATTACATTTTCTGTTGAGATGAGGAGTCTTGCTTTGTTGCTCAGGCTAGTCTCAAACTCCTGGCCTCAAGAGATCCTCCTGCCCTGGCCTCCCAAAATGCTGGGATTACAGGCATAAGCCATCACACCCAGCCTGTTCTTTTTTTAAATTGACGTGGGCTGACATTATTTTGGTGCGGGAAAAAAGTCACATATTCAAAATTGAAGTTACAGATAACTTTGGTCAGAGATGGACCAAACTGGGTCACAGAGACTCTGCCATTTAAACTGAATTCTTCAAAACACTTCTGGGATCTTTCCCCCTCATTCATCTCTTTATTCTTCAGCCTTAGGATCTTATAATTATTGTCCTTGTTTCCAAACCAGGCTACTGTCAGAATCACGGCAGAAGCCAGGCGCCTTGGCTCACGCCTGTAATCCCAACACTTTGGGAGGTCAGATCCCTGAGGTCAGGAGTTCAAAACCAGCCTGGGCAACATGGTGAAACCCCATCTCTACTAAAGATGCAAAATTTAGCTGGGTGTGGTGGTGGGCACCTGTAATCCCAGCTACTTGGGAGGAATCGCTTGAACCCAGGAAGCAGAGGTTGCAGTAAGTCGAGATCGCGCCACTGCACTCCAGCCTGGGCAACAAGTGGGAAACTGTGTCTCAAAAAGAAAAAAAAATCACTTGTGAAACTTTTAAAAGTTTAAATCGGATTGACAATCTTCAGCAGGAACAGGGTTCAGGAGTATTTTAAAGAAGTTTCTAAGTGATTTTGATATAGTCACTGGGAAAGATTTTTCTGGGTGACACCAAATATGTGGTGGTCTTCCACACAGACCCTCCAACGCCAATTAGGTGTCCTCCAGTTTAATTAAGACACACACTATCCAGAGTTATCAGATTTCACAGGTTTAACAGCTCAGTTCCTCAAGACTGCCTTCACTTCAGATGCCAGTCACCACGCACTGGGTCCCCATGCTGCCTGCTTCTGTCCAACATGGCTATAAACTCGGAGTTCCCACATTCCCTGCCAAGAGTCAATAATTTGCTAAAACGAGTCATGGAACTTAGGAAAGTACTACTATTGCCAGTTTATTATAAAGGATACAACTGAGAAACAGCCAAACATAAGCAATGCATAAGACAAGGTATTGGGGTGGGAGCTGAGGAGTGGCAAGGAAGGTAGGCGTGGCGCTGCCAAGCCAGGGACACCACCCTCCTGGCACCTTGTTGTGCTCACCAGCATGTTAGCTCTCCGAATCCATGTCTAGGAGTTTCATTACAAAGGCATGACTGACTGATTACATTATTTATTTATTTATTTATTTTTTGAGACAGAGTCTCACTCTGTAACCCACGCTGGAGTGCAGTGGTGCAGTCTCGGCTCACTACAACCTTTGCCTCTCGGGTTCAAGTGATTCTTCTACCTCAGCCTCCTGAGTAGCTGAACTAGAGGCACACACCACCACACCTAGCTAGTTTTTATATTTTTAGTAGAAATGGGGTTTCACCATATTGGCCAGGCTGGTCTCAAACTCCCGACCTCAGGTGATCCACCTGCCTAGGCCTCCCGAAGTGCTGGGATTACAGGTGTGAGCCACCGCGCCCAGCCAACTGATTACATTATTAACTGGTGGCTGAACTCAATTTCCAGACCATCCCTCTCTGGAGGTGGCAGAGGGACCATTGGAAGTCCCAACCCTCTAAAATCACAGCTTTGTCCTTCTGGTGACCAGCCCCCATCCTAAAGCTGTCTAGGGATCCCCAGCCACCAGTCATATCAGTAGCATAGCAATGACCCTGTTATCACTTTGGAGATTCCAAGGATTTTAGCAGTTGTGAGCCAAGAACATAAAGAACAAATATTTATTTTTTATTATACCACAGTCAGCCTGGCACCTGTCTGTGGCGTGGTCTTTGGGCATCACTCCAATAGATGACATTATCAAAGAGGGAAAGGCAGAAGCTATGAGGAATTCGGATCAAGTGATAAATAGAGACAAAGTAAAGCCTGACCCCAAGATTAGCTGCCCGAGGCATGGATGTAAACAGGGCATATTAAAACCTAGAAATGAGTCATAAACATCCCAGAAGGGCAGAAAAGGCCAGTCTCAGTTTCCAGCTTTCTGATTTCTCCTTCCTTCTACCACCTTATTCAACTCCCTATCCTGAAGTGTGCTGTCAACCTTACTCATTAATTAATATCTATTTTGTGTGTGCCTACATCCTGAACTGGGACAATGGCTACAGTCATTTCAGAAATCTTACCAGCAGAAAACCTGGAATAGCTGGGAGTAAATAAAGCTCAGATTCTGAATCCCAAATCCAGCTGTGTAGTCTTAGTGCCACATGTGGCTACAAGACCAATCTGCCAGCTGGGCGCAGTGACTCACACCTGTAATCCCAGCACTTTGGGAGGCCAAGGCAGGCGGATCACCTAAGGTCAGGAGTTTGAGACCAGCCTGGCCAACATGGTGAAACCCCCTCTACTAAAAATACAAAAATTAGCCCGGCGTGGTGGCGGGTGCCTGTAAACCCAGCTATTTGGGAGGCTGAGGGAAGCCTGAGCCCAGGAGATGGAGGTTGCAGTGAACCGAGGTCATGCCACTGCCCTCCAGCCTGGGTACAGAGTGAGACTTTGTCTCAAAAAAATAAATAAATAAATAAATCTGCCCATGGTATCCATTAGCCACATACCATACAAACAGGAAACCAAATACTCACCCAGTCTCTAAGTCAATAAATAAGAACTTAGAAATGCTGAATATAAGTTAGCACGCACTAGCCAACTTCTAGTGCTATAATATTTTTATTTTATCCCAGTAAGATCTACTTCCATACTGACACCAAGACACAGCAGAAGGCAGAGAATGGCAAAAAGTATTTTTCTTTTTTCTTTTTTTTTGAGACGGAGTCTCGCTCTGTCGCCCAGGCTGGAGTACAGTGGCGCTCTCTTGGCTTACTGCAACCTCTACCTGCTGGGTTCGAGTGATTCTCCTGCCTCAGCCTCCTGAGTAGCTGGGACTACAGGTGTGCACCACCATACCCAGCTAATTTTTGCATTTTCAGTACAGATGGGGTTTCACCATGTTGGCCAGGTTGGTCTTGAACTCCTGTCCTCAGGTGATCTGCCCGTCTCAGCCTCCCAAAATGCTGGGATTACAGGCGTGAGACAGCACGCCCAGTCTGCAAAAAGTATTTTTCAAGGCTTTTCAAAAGCCCTGGAATAGTCTGAAAATTCAGGTGGGAGAGTAGCCCAAGATCTCAAAAACCCTTCAAGTGAATGTCCATGCCTTGCCTGATGACCAGGATACCTCTAACATCCTCTTATGTTATGACTTCAACAACAGTATTCAAGCACTTATTTAGAGCTAATCTCCCAATAAAAGCTATTGGAGGAATCAATCAACAAAGCCTTATCAATCAAAACTTTGTTACCCAGGATATTTAAATCCCATTTCTCATTATAATCTGAGCATTTTTCTCAATTTCCCTATAGTAGAAAGAAAAGAGAATCCCCAAACAGGGAGAGAGCAAGATGAATCCAGATAAAACTAGCTTGTTCTCAAGGATTCTAAATTATCCTTGAACCAAAATATCTTTGCAAACAGGAAAAATATCTTACTCATGTCAGTACTCTAGCAATTACCACACAATGCTTCAAATGCTTGACTCGCTGTAATCACTTACATATTTACTAAATTAACTGTCATAAAATTATGACACTATTTCTAAAACCCAATGAATTACTGTATACATTTCCTGCTACAAGTGGGATATACTTTATTCACTTGAGTTTGAGCAAAAAAACTACTCACCAAAGAAAATTTTGAGTAGAGGGCACAAGATATTTGGAGTATGTTTGCTGTTGTGTGCACACGTGCTTTCTCTCTCTATGTAAGTGTGTGTATTGCTATTACCTTGGGTTTTATAAATAGATGTGTGGATTCTGCTAAAGTGATTCCTAGGCAGGATCTTTAAAATGGTTAACCCTAGGGAGGAGAACAGATCTTCAGCTCCTTCCCCTTTCATCCATCCACCTACCCTCCCTCCTGTTCACCTTCCTGCCCACCTGTTACTCCCGTCCAAAATAATTTTGAGATATTTGTATTAGAAATCAATTCAGGGCCGGGCACGGTGGCTCAAGCCTGTAATCCCAGCACTTTGGGAGGCCGAGACGGGCGGATCACAAGGTCAGGAGATCAAGACCATCCTGGCTAACATGGTGAAACCCTGTCTCTACTAAAAAATACAAAAAAATCTAGTCGAGTGAGGTGGCGGGCGCCTGTAGTCCCAGCTACTCGGGAGGCTGAGGCAGGAGAATTGCGTAAACCTGGGAGGCAGAGCCTGCAGTGAGCTGAGATCCGGCCACTGCACTCCAGCCCGGGCGACAGAGTGAGACTCCGTCTCCAAAAAACAAAAAAAGAAATCAATTCAGTAATAAGACTCACAGGGTCTCAAGTACCCACAAGATCAGATCATAAAACTAGCCTGAGTACTCTGGTTTGCCTACAGGCCACACTGTCATCAGCTACCAACCACCACTGTGGTTCATTCTTTGCTGCTTAGAGGTACATGTATGAATTTGTGTATATTATATGTTACCAAAAGTTTAAGAAACCAAAGGAATATTTGCTCAAAAGGATTTCTCACTCATAGAAATAGTTCTCCGCAGCCAAAAATCTCAGTATGGTTAAGGACAAGGGACATTTTGTGATCATTTTAATGGCACACAATACAATATATAAGACCTAAATTTAAATTCCTTAAACTACAATCCCTTAAGACACCTAGTCAGACACACTCCCAAAAAAATGACCCTACCAGTGGCAATTGAGTGCTAATAACAAAAGCACAGCTAGTAAGAGGTGAGTCAAAGGGAGGGAAACATCAGCCATTAGCAACCTTGCAAGAGGCCAAATTTTACCTTCAACAAGAAAGCAATACTACCTTTACACCTTCTTCAGCTTCATCAATATCAAATATCTTTTTAGTTTTTTTCTTCTTTTTCTTTTGATTAAAGAAGTTCAAGTCATCTAGATCATCAGAAGCATCTAAAAAGACCAATGCATAATCATTAACAACAAAAAGGCAAAGCATCAAATTATGAGTTACACAAACATAGCTCAGCAATTAATCAAGTCACCAGAAAAGACTGACTATTAATTAGTCCCTCCACAATCACAAAAGTTATGGCTCTTTTTTTTTTTTTTTTTTTTGAGACCGAGTCTTGCTCTGTTGCCCAGGCTGGAGTGCAGTGGCGCAATCTCGGCTCACTGCAACCTCTGCCTCCTGGGTTCAGGCGGTTCTCCTGCCTCAGCCTCCTGAGTAGCTGAGACTACAGGTGTGTGCCACCATGCCCAGCTAATTTTTTTTATCTTTTTTAGTAGAGACAGGGTTTCACCATGTTAGCCAGGATTGTGTCGATCTCCTGACTTCATGATCCGCCCGCCTCAGCCTCCCAAACTGCTGGGATTACAGGCGTTAGCCACCGCGCCTGGCCACAAAAGTTATGGTTCTGAAAAACAAAATGGTGGGTCATCTCAAAGATCTATAGGAAAAATCTGGTTAGGGGACCATATTGAGAATATTTATTTAGTAATCTGACCATATCACTCCTCATTGTTCCCAAGACAAAGTCAGAGCTCTAACACCATTTCCAACTCTCCAACTTTATCTCCCACTTCTGCTTCTTGCCTTCCTCACTTCCTCACTTCAATCTCTGGTTCTAACCCTACTGAACTACTTTCAGTTCCGAGTGCAATGTACGTGAGGTCTCTCACCTCCAAACCTTCCTGTGGGCCCTCTTACCTCCATCTCACAGGATCTTGGTTAAATTACTTCCACCAAAGCCTTCTCTAAGCTTATCCATCTTTCCCTGCAACTTGGTTAGGTATCCCCAGAGTGCTTGTATAGTATCTTCTGCTTACCCCAACTGAGGAACTTATTACCAGCTTGCTTATCTATCTCTCTACTAGATACTAAGAGCCTATGCCTTGTTCACCTAAATTCTACCGCCTAGCTCAACATTTTATTGCATCTATTAATCATCAAAAGGCTTAACAAATTATTTCACATTTATTAAAATAAGGCTGCACAGTAAATACAAGTTATCAGTGAAATTTTACCTACCATTAATGAGTAGATTCTGTTCAACAACTTTTCCCTTTGACCTGCCATGTTATAAACTAGAAATATTTTAGGATCCCTCTGCTACAAAGTTTTTCAAGAAACTACTTAAAAATCCATTTTATCTTATTACAACAGGAATGAGTTACTTTCCAAGTTTGTTTTAAACATGTAGAACACACTTAGCACAGGGTAGATGCTCAGTGAATGTCAGTTGTCTCTATCCTGGCACAGAGTTATATTCAACAGACACAAATAACGTTTACAGAATCATTTCTCTCTAATAGTCAAATTATGTGTATGTTACAGCACAGGGGTAACTAAAGCTGATGTCTAACCCCAAATACTTTAGGCTTTCATTTTAATCTCTCATATATATTTTCAGATTTGCTAAGACACAAAACTGCCTATCTTAGTACTATTTCTTTCTGCCCACACTCAAATACAACTACTGTTAAAGTTAGAGAAGAGACCTGATGGGTTAAACTGGAAAACCAGCTCTGGAACGGCAAGGTTTCATCATCTTTGCAACTTGTGAATTAAATGGGAACTTCCCTGCAACAAGCCTATCAGAAATCGAAAACGGTCCACTGCATACAGCCTACTGATGGCCTTGACTTCACTGGAGCAGCCTGATCAGGCTGAGAGGTTGCTGCATATACAAAAGCTAAAATGCTCATAGAACCAGGGCTTCTAGGACAACAGTAACTCTCTCACATCAACCACTCACCTTTTTTCCTAGTGTCCTCTTCATCAGCTTCCAAATCTTTGTCCTCAGTTGGCTCTGGCTCCACTTCTTTTGTTTCTGAAGGCTGGGTTTCCTCTGTTTGGGTATCCCCTTCCTCATCTAACATAAAAGGCTTCTTCTTCTTCTTTTTCTTCTTGCTCATAGTAGGATCAAAAATCATCTGTTCAAAAGACAAAAAACAAAAAGGGACCAAATGACTATTTTTAATGATGCTCACATTCCAAATATGCTTTATCCTCAAAAGGCATACTCTTAAAAGTAAAAGAGTATCTGATACTTTAAAACACCAAAGGAGAATTTACCAAAAAATAAAATAAAATGTCCACCCAACCTTCCCAACACTATTAAACATCAGGGGAATTGAAACATGTACATGTCTTTCAATTTGCAAAGTATCACAGACTCTTCACTTTCAGTTTCATGAGCAAATATGGACGTTTGAATGAATCATGGAATTTAGGGAAGGGACTTTCGCAACAACCTATGCTATGCCTCTTACTTTATAGATATAGGAAAGCAATACCTAAGCAGGGTGTAAATTTTTTTGTACTGTTTTTTTTCTTTCTTGAGACAGGGTCTCACTGTCGCCCAGGAGGGGCGACAGTGGCACGTCGTACAGTGGCACGATCACGGCTCACTGCAACCTCAACCTCCTGGACTCAAGTGATCCTACCATCTTAGCTCCTCAAGTAACTGGGACCACAAGCATGTGCTACCATGCCCAGCTAATTTTTTCATTTTGTAGAGATGGGGTCTCCCTCTGTTGTCCTGGGTGGTCACAAACTGCCAGAGGAAAAAAGTCCTCCCACCTCGGCCACTCAAAGCAATGGAATAACAGGTGTAAGCCACCGCCCCTGGCCAGGGGTATAAATGTTTTATTCAAGGTTGGTAACTTGGGGCTGCTACAGAGAGACTTGGAAGACTTCTGACCAGATTAAAAAAACAAAATTTTTTTAACTTTATCCTGAAGTTCAGACAGATCTTCAAGGAAACCCATCCGCAACTCCTCACGTGTAAAACATTTCACTCCGCTTTTTGCTTATGGAACATTAAAGGTTCCATTTTCTTTTTAACGAAACAGGGTCTGGCTCTGCTGCCCAGGTTGGAGTGCAGTGGCATGATCTCAGCTGAATCCAACCTTGACCTCCCAGACTCACGCCATCCTCCCACCTCAACTTCCCGAGTAGCTGGAATTACAGGCGTGCGCCACCACACCCAGCTAATTTTTGTGTTTTTAGTAGAGACGGGGTTTCACCATGCTGCCCAGGCTGGTCTTGAACTCCTGGGCTCAAATGATCCACCAGCTTCAGCCTCCCAGTGTTAGGACTGCAGGTGTGAGGACCATGCCTTGCCCCCAAATTCTCTTTTTATCTAAATGTCCACTATAGAATAGGTGGAAAACTAATTTATAATTTGTAGACTATCTGCTTGCACTGATCACTTGAAGAAAGAAAAGTTCAGACATCATACAGGCCGGAAACCTGATAGAGCAGAAAGTGCAGGAGGCCAGGCACGGTGGCTCACGCCTATAATCCCAGTACTTTGGGAGGCCGAGGCGGGCGGATCACGAGGTCAGGAGATCAAAACCATACTGGCTAACATGGTAAAACTCCATCTCTACTAAAAATACAAAACATTAGCAGAAGGTGGCGGGTGCCTGTAGTCGCAGCTACTCGGGAGGCTGAAGCAGGAGAATGGTGTGAACCTGGGCAGTGGAGCTTGCTGTGAGCCAAGATCACACCACTGCACTCCAGCCTGGGTGACAGAGCAAGACTCAGTCTCAAAAACAAAAAAAAGAAAGTGCAGGGTCTTTCAAGTCAAATAGAACTGGATTCAAATATCAAGTTTTTTTTTTTTTTCTTCTGAGCCCCTTACCAATCTCTCTCCACAGTCTATTAATATCATGCTTAAATTCAGCATTTTGCCCAGTGATCTGCTGCGGACAGTGTAGTAGTAAAGTGTTTAAAAGCACAAGTCTGGAGCCCATCTGACTGGATTCAAATTCTGACTCTGGCTTGTACCTATGTTATTCCACGGCTCATCTGTAAAATGGAGACAAGTAGCAGAGTGACAAGAAACCACACAAGGTTACTGGGAGGGTTAAAGTAGTATGTAAATGTAAACCCCCTGCCATAGTGCCTAGCACATAAGTACTCGATAAATATTAGCAATTGTAATTTATATAATACTTTACCATTCACGAAGTATGGTTTTCTCTTGATTCCTATCACTGAAATTTCATCAACTCACGTGCTCTAATTTCTCAAACATATAAAACTCTCAAAAGCTTCCAGAAATTGATTCTAACATAAACTTATTTATGTTCCAAGATCATTAAGGAAACTAGACTGAAATCAAGCCACAGTCTGTAATAAGGTAATATAGTTACTGTCCTTGCCCAGTAGAGAAGTACGGTATTTGCAAAGTATTTTCAAAGTTAGTCTTTTCTCCCTTAACAAGGATCCAATCGTATAAATAGTTAAATCTGAAATGTAGTCAGTCTGAAGAACATTATCTAGCCAACTTAAAGAAGTGTCCCTACCAAGGTAGAAGAGCAAAGAGGAAGGAGTCCCCCACTGCTGATCCACTATTGAGCCCCGGGTCACCCTGCAAGGAGCACTGCAATCATACAGGGAAGTAGCCACATTTCATCCTCATTCTTGAAATAGAAAGACTTGGCAAAGGTTCTGGAAGGGATTACAATCCATTTATTGCATTTTTTCAAGCATCAAGTTCCCTAGAATATTCATTGCCTTTTAACCATTATTCATCAAGACAGACTAAAGATGGAAAGGATCCTGGTATCATCAGGGGACAGCCTCACAAGTGCCTTCTTATCCCCTGAAAAACCTTATGGTCTACAAGTAAACAGTTTGGTTGTAGCCTTGTAACGGGTAATAAACATGCAAGAATCATAAATTGAAATAATTAACCTCTCTCTCAATTACTGTCTGGATACTTAACATACATGCTCATTGCCTTATTTTATTCATACCATCCTGCAAAGTACAGTTTACAAATAAGGACCAGGGATCCCGAAGCAGCACCCAAAGAACGAGGCCATGTTAGTCTTGACTAAAATCATGGCTTTTTAAGACTTTCATCTCTAACTTCCAAATTATAAGCTGACTACACTCCAGATTGGTTTTCTTTTATGAGACTAGTTTGGATTTGAAAAGCAAATAGCTGTTGACAGTGCACTTATGGAAAACTACAGAATCACTTGAGTTATATTTTAGGTTCACAACAAAGCCTTCAAAAGCATAAATTTTCTATTTTCAACTTCTCACGTTTGGTTGGAGAGGGCAAAGAAAAGGTATACCAGCTAAAATTACCCTGAAATGCTTCATCGAATTAGAAGCCTCTTCTTAGAGATCATACCTTACGCAAGAAATCAACTTTATAGTCATACTATACCCAGAAGCAGGTGTGAGTCACAAAAGAACCCACAGAGAAGCAAGACATTGATCTAAAAGTTCCTTCCAAAGGTAACCAGAACAAATGCCAAGTGTTGCCATCTCTGTGTGATAAGATTGTGGGATTTTTTTTTTTAAGGGACGGGAGTCTATGTTGCCCAGGCTGAAATGTAGTGACTACTCTCAATTCTAATTAGAGTGCACTGCAGCCTAGAACTCCTGGCCTCAGCCTCCTGAGCAGCTGAGACTACAGGTGAATGCCACTATGCCTGGCTTAGATTCTGCTATTTTTCTTTGTATTCTTTTGTGTTTCATAAACTTTACACAACACACATCCCATTTTGAATCAAAACCTTTTTTTTTTTTATTTAAAGCTTCTTTTTGCAAAAACACCTTACCATATTTTATGAAAACCCAATGTTCTGACTCCTTGTGAATGGGACCCCGTAGTAAACAGGCAAGTATTAAATGTTGATGCTGCTTTTAACAAATGTGAAAATACTGAATGCCTATTGATTAGGGGATTTTTCTTTTCCCTTACCAGGGAGCAGCCATATTTCTAGGATTCTGCTTTTTAAAGATCATGGTTCCATGTTGGGAGGCTGAGGCAGGAAGACTGCTTGAGGCCAGGAGTTCAAGACTAGCTTGGGCAACAAAGCAAGACCTCATTTCTACAAAAAATTAAAAAGTTAGCAGGTGCAAGAGCATGTGCGTGTAGTCCCAGCTACTTGCAAGGTTGAGGGAAGAGGATCCCTTGAGCCGAGGTGACAGAGGGCGCAGTGAGCTATTATTGTGCCACCGCACTCCAGCCTGGGCAACAAGAGCAAGAACCTGTCTCAAAAAAAAAAAAAACATAGTTCCACTAGGTTGAAAAGGGTTCTGTTTTGGTGAGTTTTTGGCTTAATTACCAGGTTTAAAAATAAATGTAGGCCGGGCGCAGTGGCTCAAGCCTGTAATCCCAGCACTTTGGGAGGCCGAGACGGGCGGATCACGAGGTCAGGAGATTGAGACCATCCTGGCTAACAAGGGGAAACCCCGTCTCTACTAAAAAATACAAAAAAAAACTAGCCGGGCGAGGTGGCGGGCGCCTGTAGTCCCAGCTACTCGGGAGGCTGAGGCAGGAGAATGGCGTAAACCCGGGAGGCGGAGCTTGCAGTGAGCTGAGATCCGGCCACTGCACTCCAGCCTCGGTGACAGAGCCAGACTCCGTCTCAAAAAATAAATAAATAAATAAATAAATAAATAAATAAATAAATAAATGTGTGCAGTGTATTTCAATTATGTGTCAAAAAAAAAAAAAAACACCCAAAAACAGAAGACTGGGCGTGGTGGCTCACGCCTGTAACCCCAGCACTTCAGGAGGCTGAGGCAGGCGAATCACGAGGTCGGGAGTTCCAGACCAACATGGTGAAACCCCCTCTCTACTAAAAATACAAAAAACAAAATTAGCTGGGCATGGTGGCAGGCGCCTGTAATCCCAGCTATTTGGGAGGCTGAGGCAGGAGAACTACTTGAACCCAGGAGGCAGAGGATGCGGTGAGCCAAGATCACGCCACTGCACTCCAGCCCAGGCGATAGTGCGAAATTCCATCTCAAAAGAAAAAAAAACAAAAAAACCCCAAAAAACCCAGAAATATGAAGGAAACAGAAAATTACTTTTTAATAGTAGCCTCTTTAATCGTCTAGCCTGACAACCACCAGGCAGGATTACTTCCACTCTGGGAAGTCCCTGGCAGTTTATAAATCATTTTCAAGTACAAGAGTTTCATCTGATCCTCACAAGCCTGTACAGTAGCCAGATGTTAAAGGAATGGCCTAAAAATACTTACCTAGTCAATAGCACTAGAGGAACCAGGCCCTACATCCTATTCTTCATACCTTGTCTCCACTACTAACTTCTGCCTGGCAGAAGGGAAGCCAGAGACCAGGGTTCTAGTCCTATTAACTAGAACCTTTCTGCATGATCTTGGACAAGTTAATCTCCCTCGGCCCTGGTTTCCTGTAAAATGCAGTTGGACTGGCACCCCAAGTGGCCAAACTGTCTAATATTTTATTGGCTTCCAAAGTTCTATGCTGAAATGCTGGTTCTGCCATCTTTGCGTCACAAAATTCTGTTCATCCATCAGTAATGTATTCATATTCCGCTTCTTTCAAAACCTAATCCCACTGCTAAAAATGATCCCTCTAGCCCTCCAAGTCACTATGTTGATGGCCCTATTTCTACCTTGTGTGTCAACTAGTTGACCATACACAGAATAACACCCCATGGAATCTTGCACTACGTAAGTACTGTATTTGCCAAAGGTTATGAGAAGTTTGAAAAATGAGTAGAAACAAAACAAGTGTGAAACACTGCCACTCTCAGAACATTTGAAATACAGCAGCCTAGAGCAATGTCTATCATAACCGCCAAGGACCATCTACAAACTTTCAGTTTCTCTAAGCCATTAAGATCCTAGTCAATCTGGAATTCTACTGGCTCAGCCACTTAGTATTTGATCATGGGCATCTGTAACACTCAATTTTTTCATCTCTAAAACGGGCACAACAGACCTATTTTACAGGACTGTTGTGAGAACCAAGTCTAAGAGACTGGAATCCCCTCCAGAATACATTCCAAATTCCTTAACTTCGTCTTCACAGCCCTCCATGAATTAATCATTACCTGTTTGTCAAGTGTTCACCCCTTAACTGTCACCAAACTGGAGATTATTCTACTTCCTGTGAGCACATTTACTGGCCTTTCTCGGCCATTCCTTTGCCCTTGTGATCAAGGCTTCCTATTGCCTGAGGAAATTCTCAACGCCGTACAGGGCCTCCCCCAATGTTAAGCAATACCTACTGAGAGTACTTAAAATCAACTTCATTTTAAGTCGGTAGATATTATATCAACTAGGATAAATCTGGGGGAAAGGGATTTGAGGAAATTCACTGAGTTCCAAGCACCACGGCAGAAAAAGATCCAGCCAGTTTCACAGCCCGGACTTCCCGCTCACGTCGCTGGGAGCCCTCTGTTAAGGGAAGCTCGGGGGCTCACCCGGAAACTTTCCGGGAAGGTCAGTCACTTCCTGAGGCTGCAGAATCTTTTCCTCTCGTTCTAATCCCATCACCCCCTCGTCTTTTTAAAAAGCAATGCTAGGAAGGCAGACGAGGGCGGGATACCGGCCCCGACAAGACAGCCTAGAAAGTTTTACCGAGGGCGTTCTACCAAGCTAAGAGAGCTCCTCGCGGCACCCAGTGAGGCGAGCTGGGGCGGCAGTGCCGAGCAGAAAGGAATGCAGGGATCGCCAGCCCCAATCTCGTTCGGGGAATTAACTGGGCATTCGAGCCCCTTCAGGGAGGGCGACTCAACGTGTGCTCTCCATTCCGGAAACGCCAGCCACGGCAGGAGGTCCGCCTCGGCGCCGCCGCCCTGAGGAAAGCGCGCTGCAGCCAAGCCTGCGGCTCCGGAGTCCTCGCCGGCTCTGCCGCTCCGGGCCGCCTAGGCCCGGCTGCCCCACATGGCGGCGGCCAGCTGCTAGGCCGCAGGCCCGGTCTCCCACACTGGAGTGGGTTCGGCTTTTCGCCTCAGTCCTTAGTTAGCCCTAACGCCGGGCTCAGACCCTCACCTCGTCCCCAGACATGGCTGCGGCTCGAGTGGGCTCGGCACGGACGGGAAGTCAGACGGGTCAGCCCCAGGCCCCGGCGGCAGCGCGGCTCCTGCCGATACCTCTCCCACCACCGCACTAGGCTCTTGCATCAGCGAAAGGGAACGACACCCCGCCCTCTCCTCCAAGCGTTGGAAATGCGCCTGCGCAGAGCTCGCCAAGGCGCAGGCGCGCAGAAGAGCCAACCTAGCGCGCTTCGTGTGGCGCGAGTTACCAGGCGACGCCGCGTAGCCAGGCATGCCGGGACTTGTAGTCCACCTATAAGTGGATTGCGCTTGCGCTGTAGCCTCCCAGCGACCTGTGCTCGACGACCGAGCGAGCGGCAGCCGGAAGAAGGTTAGGTTGTTGATACTGCCTCAGCGTTTTGGAGCGTTCTCTTGCGCTGCTTGTAGAGTGAATTAGGGTCCCTTCCTCCTGGATTAGGGTAGTGGCTTAGACACTGAGTCGTATGAACCCGCTCGAGCTTTCGTTTCCCACTTGACCCCGGGGCGTCATGGTGTTTCAGAAATTCTGAGTTGGAGCTGGAGGCGCTCACCTCCCTGAGGGTTTTTACTTCATGAGAAATTTGACGGCTGGTTTTCTGCTTAGGAGGTCAGAAACCAAAGTATCTTCCCGGTCTTCTCCCAGGAGAGATAGCATCTCCTGAGGAGAAACAGCCACGCAAGAGGCAACTGTCGGGAAGCCTCAAAATACTTGTTTATGAAATCTGACTGAACGCTCTGGCTGCACCACGGAATTTCCTTTTAGACCTAAAAACAGCAGAGACCCTTCAGGGAGGTCTCACTGCGGCAGTGCCCTCCAGCCAAAGACGGTCAAGAACACTCCTGTAGTTGGTAAAGGTGGGGTTTATGGTCTTGCAGGGAGGGCAGTACACCGTGGAAAACACCGGGACGTCTTGAGAAGAGGGTGTTGGAAAGAATTTACAGGATTTGGGCAGGGTTTAAGGAAGCAGAGCTTCTCTCTGGATTAGATGCAGTCAGGAGGTGGGGGTAATTCTATGATTGGGTAATTTAATAATTTTTTTTTTTTTTTTTTTTTTGAGACTCGCTCTGTCTGTCGCCCAGGCTGGAGTGCAGTGGCGAGATACCGGTTCACTGCAAGCTCTGCCTCCCGAATTCAAGCGATTCTCCTGCTTCAGCCTCTCGAGTAGCTGGGATTACAGGCATGAGCCACCTCGCCCGGCCTATAATTCTTACATAATAAGAAAGTAGAACTGGCCGGGCGTGGTGGCTCACGCTTGTAATCCCAGCACTTTGGGAGGCCAAGGCGGGCGGATCACCTGAGGTCAGAAGTTCAAGACCATCCTGGCCAACATGGCGAAACCTCGTCCCTACTAAAACTAGAAAAAGTTGCCGCGTGTGGCGGTAGGCGCCTATAATCCCAGCTACTCTGGAGTCTGAGGCAGGAGAATTGCTTGAATTCGGGAGGCAGAGGTTATAGTGAACCGAGATCGCGCCACTGCACACCAGCCTGGGCGACAGAGTGAGACTCCGTCTCAAAAAGAAGATTAAAAAAAAAAGAAGAAAGGAAGTGGAACCAAGCGAGGCTAAAACTGCAGTTGGTTTTAAAAAAAAAAAAGTGACTGGACGCGGTGGCTCACGCCTGTAATCCCAGCACTTTGAGAGGCGAGGCGGACGAATCACGAGGTCAAGAGATTGAGACCATCCTATCCAACATGGTAAAAGCCCATCTCTACTAAAAATACAAAAATTAGCTGGGGATGGTGGTGCGCACCTGTAGTCCCAGCTCTCAGAATGCTGAGGCAGGAGAGTCACTTGAACCCATGAGGCGGAGGTGGCAGTGAGCCGAGATCAAGCCACAGCACTCCAGCCTGGCGACAGAGCGAGACTCCATCTCAAAATAATGATAATAATAAAAAAACCTGGGCGCAGTGGCTCACACCTGTAATGCCAGCACTTTGGGAGGTGAGGCAGGCGGATCATGAGATAAGGGGTTTGAGACCAGACTGACCAACATGGTGAAACCCCATCTCTACTAAAAATACAAAAATTAGCCGGGCATGGTGGTGTGCTCCTGTAATCCCAGCTACTCAGGTGGCTGAGGCAGGAGAATCGCTTGAACCCGGGAGGCAGAGATTGCAGTGAGCCGAGATCGCACCAGTGAACTCCAGCCTGGGCGACAGAGCGAGACTCCGTCTCAAAAAAAAAAAAAAAGAGGATAGAGATGGGAGCATATCTGGTTGTTTTGTTTTGTTTTGTTTTGTTTTTTTGAGACAGAATTTCGCTCTTGTTGCCAGGTTGGAGTACAATGGCATGATCTTGACTCACCGCAACTCCGCCTCCTGGGTTCAAGCAATTCTCCTGCCTCAGTCTCCCAAGTAGCCGGAATTACAGGCATGCACCACCACGCCCGGCTAATTTTGTGTTTTTAGTAGAGACAGGGTTTCTCTGTGTTGATCAGACTAGTCTCGAACTCCCGACCTCAGGTGATCCACCCACCTTGGCCTCCCAAAGTGCTGGGATTACAGGTGTGAGCCACCATGCCCGGCCTTATATCTGGTCATTTTTTTGTGGTTGGCACAATGTTTCTTTTTGTTTATATTCAGACATCATTGTGGAGTGGTTTTGTTTTTGTTGGGACCCACCGTGGTCACAGAATGGCCTTGCCTGATGTTGGTGTTCTGAAATTGTTAGTGTTCAACAGGGCAGCACATCCTAGTTAACAGTGCCAGCCAGCTTCCTGCTATCATGGGCTGGATCTCTTCACTGTGTTCCACATTACTAAATCATATTCGCTGCTTTAGGCCTCAACACAACTGTGTGAGATAATCCACAGATACCTAGTACTCTCTACTGGATACTAGACCCTAATCTAAGCATGGCAGTTCCTTGCCTCCAAGGAGCTTACAGCTTAATGAGATGGATGGTTTATTAGCCCCTTTTTCCAGATGAGGAAACTGCTTTTGTGGCACTGAATAGTCAAGCCATATGCAGCCAGCAAAACAGGTAACCTGGGAATCCAAGTCCAGACAATCTGATGCCAGTGGCTACCACTTTCCCACCTTGAGAATCTGAATCCCTAAAGAGCCTGGACTGGTGCCACCAAACTTCAGTCATTTCCAGCTACTGATATTTGTGCATACCACAGTTATTCAATGGTAGCATTATTGACATATTGGCAGACAATTTTTTGTCAGGCCAGATAATTATTTGTTGTGAGATGTTGTTCTGTGCATTGTAAGATGTTTAGCAGCATCCCAACCTCTATATAATAAATGCCAGTGGCACCCTCCCCCGGATGTGACAACCAAAAATGTCTCCAGACATTCCCAAATATTCCCTGGGAGGGACAGAATCACCCCTGTTTGATCATTTTTTGGATCTTTGAGAGAGAAACATTTGGTATATGACAGTCCCCAAATCATTTTAAGTGCGAGGCCTTGAAGAGAAGAGAAGGAAACAGTGTGGCCTAAGTTTTGGAAAAGGCTGTTCAAATACAAAAATGACAGAGAAAGGAAAAATAAATGAAATGGAAAAACAAAAGAAGACAAGTGATAGAGGTGAAGAAAAGGAACTTATGAAATGATCTGTGGGCCAGGCATGGTGGCTCACACCTGTAATCCCAGCACTTTGGGAGGCCCAGGTGGGAGGATTGCTTGAGCTCAGGAGTTTGAGACCAGCCTGGCCAACATAGGCCCATCTCTACAAAAAAAAAAAAATATATATATATACACACACACACACACACACACATATATATAAAATATATATATATGTGGGATGTTGTGTATATATATATTATATATAATATAAAATATATTTTTAATTAAAAAATAAGTTACTCATATCATACCAAGGAAGCTAGTTCATTAGTTCACACTAACAAAGACACTAAGAAATTTTTTTTTTTTGAGACAGAGTCTTGCTCACAGCCCAGGCTGGAGTGCAGTGGCACAATCTCGGCTCACTGCAAGGTCCGCCTCCTGGGTTCATGCCATTCTCCCCTCAGCCTCCCAAGTAGCTGGGACTACAGGCACCCGCCACTGCGCCCGGCTAATTTTTTGTATTTTTAGTAGAGACGGGGTTTCACCGTGGTCTTGATCTCCTGACCTTGTGATCTGCCTGCCTCAGCCTCCCAAAGTGCTGGGATTACAGGCATGAGCCACCGTGCCCGGCCTGTACCACAATCTCTTATGAAATTGCTTATTGTGAATCAATCCTCAAGTATCTGTTCCATGATACATGCTTTAGGAAAATCAGATTTCTGGTTTTGGAGGCCAAATACATGAGGTCCTGAGCTCTGGTGCTCTACTCCAAGGGTCTCTGAATGGCTGGGCATGGTGACTCACGCCTGTAATCCCAGCACTTTGGGAGGCTGAGGAAGGAAGATCACTTGAACTCAGGAGTTTGAGAGCAGCCTGGGCAATATAATGAGACCCTGTCTCTGTAACAAATAAAAATCTCTGGGTATTTTTCCCAGCAAGTCATCCTCATGACTGCTATGGGACAAAACAAGGGTCTTTGAGATCTTATTTGGTTAGTTCCTGACCTCCTTCTCCCATATCTTTTTCTTGGTTCTCTTATAACTTCAGTTCGTCCTCCATCTAGCCCATCGAGTTTCCTGGGGCAGGGGGAAAAAAAAAAAAAAACTAATCAAACTGCTCCCTTGCTAAAAATCAGTTAATTCTGTTACCTTCAGAATAGATTGCCAGTCTGCCTCCAAGCCCCCCTCACCATGCTGCTGTCTACCCTTCTTAGCACTCTCCATTGTGTGTGCTAAGTTCCAGTCATACTAAATCATTTAATATTTCATAAGCATGCCGTGCCCTTCATTTGTTCCATGCTGTTCCCTCTGTAGAATGTCCTCCCCTCCTGTTCCTGGAATCTGATGAACTCCTGTCATTCTTTAAGATCCAGATCTAGACTTTACTTTTTTAAAGAAGCCTTTGATTTCTCCACAAGGGAAAAGAATGATTCCTTTCTTTCTACTTGTCTTTTTTCTATTACAGCCTTATTGTATTATGTTGTAGCTGTCCTTGAGATCCTGGAGGGTGGGATCTGTGCCTTACTCATATTTCTTTGCTTCCCCAAAACCTAGCACATGTTTGTGAATGCAGGCACCCATATGGGGTGATAGGTATAAGCGCTAATTACTAACTTGCACCAGTCTTCACTTCCCAAGAGAGGATGGGAAACCTCCCAGCTATATTCTGTTCGGAATAATTGGGTGTGAACGTAGGAAATAAATATGTTTTAT